GGTCACAGGTTGTGCAGGCCTGCCCTAGTCTTTCCACTGAGTTCTAGGCCATGTCATCAACAACCTGCTAGATATTTCAAACTAGATGTCCCATAGGCATCTTAAGCTCAGTATGTCCAAACTGAACTAATCTTTCCTTCCAAACCTACTCTTCTCCCCAACATAACTATTACTGGCAAAGGCACCACCATTCTTCCAGTCACCTAGGTTCACCACTTTGGTGTCATCCTTAACTCTTTACTCTTACTGTACTTATCCAATCTGTTCCCAGGTCTTGTCATTTCTGCCTTTTATGTTTGGCCTTTTCTCTGTTCACACAGCCACATCCCTACTTCAGGCCCTCCTTACCTCTATCATCCTATTCCAGTGGTGTCCCAAATTAATTGAATGACACCACAGCAGGCATGTGCTTGTCAGTTTTGCCAATGTCACAAAGCTGGGAAGGGGTAGCCAGTGTGAGAGATAGCATCTTCAAGCTTGAAAGTGATCTTTGTGGGCTAGAACACTGGGGCTGAAAACAAGTTGACTATGGAGCATCTAAAGCACAGGGGTCAAATTCAGTCTTTTTTTTTCCTTTTCTTTTTTTAAAATTAATTTATTTTGATTTATCAACAATCACTTCCATATGCTTTTGAGTTTAAAATTTTTCTCCCCCTCCCTCCCCACAACAGCACACAATCTGATATAGGCTGTACATATACATTCCTATTAAACATATTTTCACATTAGTGATGTTGTAAGTAAGAATTAGAACCAATTGGAGGAACCACCAGAAAGAAGAAACAAAACTCAATAGAAGAAAAAAAATAGAAAATAGTATGCTTTGATCTGCATTCAGACTCCATAGTTCTTTCTTCTTTGTGGATAGCATTTTCTATCACAAGGCCTTTAGAAATGCCTTGCATTGCTGAGAAGGATTAAGTTTATCAATATTAGTCATCGCACAATGTGGCTGTTATTGTGTACAACGTTCTCCTGCAAACTCAGTCTTGCTGAGCACATTTGGCCCAAGACTCTTCTGATTGCAGTCAGACCCAGCTTAAAATGTAATTGAAAATATTAAAATAAGTAAATGAGAATGCATTAAAATAGGTACTATCACATTTGAAAACTAAATCAGTATGTGGCTTGAGGGGATCCTTATGTACAGATTGGTGGCCCCATTTCTATTTGAATTTGACTCCACTGATGTATAGGAGGGTAAGCAGGGTGGTGAGGGCTGGGAAACAACTGAAGGGCTGGATGAAGGAAGGCCAAAGGCACTTGTCAGTCAATGAGTCAACAAGTATTTAAGCATTTACTGTGCACAAGTCATCATAGATTTAGAACTGGAAGATACCTCAGGCGTCATCCAATTCTATACTCTCATTAACGAATGGGATCCCAATAACAGATGAGGAAATTGAGGCCCAGAGGAGTGAAGTAACTTACCCAAGGTCACATAGGGAGTAAGTAGCAGAGCTGAATTTGAACCTAGGTCCTATGACTCCAAAGCCATCGTGCCATGCATCTCTCTTCAAATTTTTGATTAACTTATGTAGAAAAGGCAGCCTACTTCTTTTGTGTTACTGTGAAGGCAGAAGTAGGAATGGTGGGGGAAAGGGAAGTGGATTTTCATTTAATATAAGAATATTTAATTATTTTTCACATTTCATTTTTGCCTTTCACTTTTATATGTCATTTCCCCATAACTATCCCACCTTCCAGTAAACACTTTCTTATCACAAAAAGAAACATTATGGTAAAACTGAACTCCACAGTGATCAGTTCTGATTGTGTTCCATATCCTTGTGCCCTGCCCAGTCCTGAGAGGTGGCTCATCCTTCATCTTCCTCACTGCAATTGGTCTTGCCAGGGGTGAGGAACCTATGGTCTCGAGGACACATGTGGCCCTCCAGGTCCTCAAATTTGGCCCTTTGACTCGATCCAAACTTCATATAGCCAGTCCTTTTACTGAGGGGTCAAAAGGCTATAGGTTCCCCACCCCTGGTCTTGACCATCAGAATGCCACTGTTTTCTAGTGCTACTTCCATTTCTATTGTTACTGTGGGTACCATTCTTTTGGCCCTGCTTATGTAGAGAAGCCACGAGCAAGGAACAGGCCATCTCATGATAAAGTAATAAGCTGGCCGATGGGTGCCCCATGCTGCTGAAGGGTCTGCTGCACCATGTGAGAGGTTGGACTAGATGACCTCTAAATAGATATGAATTCTAGCACATCTATGATTCTTATGGCTGTAGTAATAGAAAGGGAATAAAAACACTATGCTATATAATGAAAATTACTTCGTATATACTTTGTATTCATTTATCTGTGTCACCCCCAGTAGAACATAAGCTTCTTGAGATCAGGGATTCTTTTGTTTCTGGTTTTGTATTTCTAACATCAAGCACAGAGCCCTTGCACATAATAGGAGCTCAGTAAGTGCCTCTTGAATTGAATTCATTCCATAGTCTCTTATTCTCTTCACTGCTCTGTACCAGGCAACTAATTTAGGCACCAGGGATACGAAGAGTTTACATTTTAATAGAAAAATATGTATGAATTAAAAGTCAGTACAAGGAAAAGGTAAATACAAAGTAATTTTGGGTGTTGGGGGAAGGGTGCTAGCAAAACTGATTGAATCAGAAAAGGGGGGTACAGTGGTTAGAGAGCTGGGCCTAGAGTCAGGAAGACCTAAGTTCAAATATAACTGAAGACACTTACTAGTTGTGTGACCTTAGGCAAGTCACTTAACCTGTTTGCCTCAGTCTCCTCATCTGTAAAATGAGGATAATGAGAGCATCTGCCTCCCAGGTAGGATAAGTTAGTTAACAATTGCAAAGTGCTTAGCACAGGGTATGGCCCATAGCAAGCACTATATAAATTTTATCTATTATCACTATTGTTATGTGTAGGAGGTGGCATATGAGCTGAGCCTTAAAGGAAATCCAGAATGCTAAGGGGCAGAGGTGAGGAAGGGAGAACAGCCTGTGCAAAGTGTGGAGAAAGAGATGGGATGCAATAGATTGGGTGCACTAAATAGGGCGCTTTGGCTGGGAGGGCATACTGGAGCCAGACTGTGAGGACTTTAAATGACAAGGAGAGGTGCTCTAGAGGCAGCAAGGAGCCATTGGAGTATCTTCAGCTCAACTCAGCATGAAAATTCCTTAAACTGGGGGCTTTGGTTTCTCTCAAATAAGTAAGCTCTATAGTTAAAGCAGTATCGCTCTTACTGTATACAACGTTCTCTTGATTTTGCTCATTTCACTCTTTTCACTCTTCGTTATTTCCTGCAAGTCTTTCCTTGTTTTTGTAAGATCGTTGAGCACATCATTTCTTATAGCAGGGTAGTATTCCATCACAATCATATAATGCATCTCGTTCAGCCATTCCCTAATTGATTGGCCTCCCTGCAATTTCCAGTTCTTTGCCACCACAAAGAGAGCTGCTATAAACATTTTAAAACATGTAGGTTCTTTTCCTTCTTCCCTAAACATATTTCAAAATAGACCTAGTGGTGGTATTTCTGGGTCAAAGGGTATAGGCAGTTTTATAACTCTTTGGGCATAATTCCAAATTGATCTCCGAAATGGTTGTATCAGTTCACAATTCCACCAACAATAAACGTGTCCCAATTTTTCCACATCCCCTCCAACATTTGCCATTTTCTCCTTCAATCATTTTAGCCAATCTGATAGGTATAAAATGACAGCTTAATTTGCATTTCTCTAATCAATAATGATTTAGAGCATTTTTTTCATATGACTACAAATTGTTTTGATTTCTTCATTGTCAAACTGCCTGTTCATATCTTTTGACCATTTATCAATTGGGAAGTAGTTTATTCATGTTACAAATGTAAAATTACATAGATTGAAATTGCTTTAGAAAGATCTGTGATAAGCAAGGGATAAAAAGCAAAACAAAGCCCCAGATGTATATATTGGTAACTTATTGAGGCTAGCAAGGATGAGTAAAATAAGCTGATGTTTAAACAGAAGAGAGCACATTAAGCAGAAAGGCAACATAGGCCAGGAGAGACTGAAGCCCCTCATAGTAATAAGAAGACATCACTCACAGAAAGTTTCTATGTGAGATATTTGTGTACAAATAGAAGGGTAAGGCCAAAGAAATTAGATGTATCATCTCCTAGAGGGAGTTTGAACACCATGAGTTTAACCAAGCCATGTCTGGAAATAATAATCAACTGACAACAAAATATTAAATGTTGTTAGCTGTTATAGGAGATCAGATGGGGATTTGAAAAGCAAAGAAGATTAAAAATAAGTGTGAGGGGGAAGTGATGGATGGAGAGGAGTTCTCATTTGGAATTGGAAGCGAGAGTAGGAATTGTCTCCAACCACCTGAATCTGGAGGAGCAGCTTGAGGGATAAGAGATGACAGAGTTCCATGCACTCTAGGAAATAACAGTAATGAAGGTTTTTCTGCTCCCTGCAAATAAATAGGGATATAGCCATCCCAGCCAGCTAGCTCCCTCATGCCTAGGAACAGATTTGCTTCATCACTATTCTGTTTATGTAGAGAAAATATCTGAGGTTTTATTTCCCCCTTACAGCTTTTTCATGGAAATGGACAAAGATATGATTTCTTTGGCATGTGCACTTTTAAAGGTTGGTTCTCATCTCTCCCCTCCTTGTATGTATTTTTTAAGGATTCCATTTGTTAAGATTTTGCTGGTCTCTGATATTTTTCCTTCCTTAGGCCCATCATCCTGCCATTAAGTCTTTGGCTACTTTATAACTGACGATGGGTATTGAATCTAAGTAGATGGCTATCTTGACTTGAATTAGAAGAGATCTAGGTATTTTTCCTTGCCATTTTTGTCTTCCTTTATTTCTTTTTCTTGGAAAAATTCTGAATCAGTGGAGATAATTGCAAGCCTAAACTGTTGCTTGACATATGGGCATAATGATCTCTGCAGAAAGAGATGCAATTCTGTGGATGGTGAGGCTCCACTCTGTAGCCAGCATTCATCATCTCTGGGTTTTTTCTTTAGGGAACACCAAAGCAAGCAAAAGGGACAAAAAGAAAATTCCAAGGGGCCAGCCAAGGGCCCCCACCGAAACAAAAGAATGAAATGTCCTTACCCCCTGCCAAGAAAACCGAAGTTAAAGAGGTTAAAAGGACTGGGAAGGGAAAGCCGGAAGGTCTGATTTCTCCAAAAAAGCACCCAGCTGTCCCTACTAATGAGGGACAAGTGGAGAGGCCGTTCATTAAGACCTCGTCATTATTTAAAAACAACCCTGAAATTCCAGAAATCCACAGGTATGTTTTATGGATTGTTCACTGCAGGGATCAAAGGAAATAAATATAATTCTGCGGATTTCATTGTGTCACTGAGACAGAGGCTGATGCGTAGGTATGTTGTTTCTCATTTGCAGAGCTATGGTGAAGCAGGTACGAGAAAAAGTGTTTACTTCCGATTCTTTTCATGAATTGGGCCTCCATCCACACCTGGTGAGTACCTTCTGGGCTTTCAGAAGGTTTTTCTTTTTTCCAGAAAAGCTCCTTTCTTTGGAAGACCTTTATTTTATGTTGACTATCTGTATAGACCCTAGGTGGATTGGTGGAGGGAGGAACTTGCTGTGGAAAGAAATCAAAATGAGGTTATTTTTACAGCAGGTCAAGTGGGCTCAGAGTAGTTCCATTATATTCTGCTGGTGCAAATTTAATGGCCTCAGGCTGTCATTTATTCAACAACCATTTATTAATTGTCTACCATGTGCATTGCCCTATGGTTTATATTTTGAGAGAAACAAAGATAAATAAGATGGTCCCTGACCTCAAGGCTGTCTGTCTGCTGCCTTGCTTTAGATCATGTGCAAGGAGGGACTGACGGCTGTTCCTACCTAACTGCTGTTTTATTTATGATATGTGAAAGAAAAATGTAGTCCCACCTACCTTTCTCATTACCATATGTGTTTATCAGAGCAGTCATTGGATGACAGAATCTGGTGGCCATGAGTATCAGAATTGAGAGCATTTGGGGCTTTAACTGGATGTTCTATTTGCTGAGGTTTGGAGGGTGAGGAATCCACCATACTGTGCAGTTTCCCCAAGCAAATGGACACTGTTTCTTATTAATAATAAGTTGTTTAGGCTTACTGTGAAGTGAGGAACATAGAATCCATTACCTCTTGCATGGTCTTAATTTCAACCTCACCCCTGCTCAGAGTTTTACATAAGCCATTTTTCTGTTCTGCATATTTGAGCATCAAAACATACTTTATCGGTATGAATCAGCTTTATCCCAAAATTGGTACCATCTTCATTTTCCTCTTTTGTTTCCTTCACCTCCTTTGAATTCTCTAATTCCAAAGAAGTGATAGTCAGTGAACATGCCTGATTTTGCTTCTTATCTTCTTAGATTTCAACAATAAGCACAGTCCTGAAAATGTCTAGCATGACCAGGTAAGAGCTCCAGACTAAACTTCAAGCTTCCTTAGGATCCACATTGGTCCTACTAAATGAAATTTAAATGTAGTAAAGGGAACTGAAAGAAAATATTAACTTACACATTATGAAGGAATGTCAGGTGGCTAATTAGCTTTATGACCCTAGTTAAGTCATTAGCCTTTAGCTTCTTCATTAAATGAGGTGGCTAACCTAGATGATGATCTTTAGGGATCATTTTAACTCTTCATTCTGTGAAGACTTTGGTACAGTTTATTCTTTTATGAGACTGCTTCTATTTCTGTTGGATTTTTCAGTGATTTTCCTTTAACATAATGTGGTCAAAATACCAGTTTAGAACAGTGTAACTTCACTTTTAGAATTATTTCTGCTGGTAATAATAATAATGATAGGAGTCAACCAGAAGGGATAGGAATAAATATTCGGTTTGAAGCAAAAAAGATATTGAGATCAAAAAATAAATTTGATAGGATGAGTATTATCCCAAAGTTTCACATTTGCCTTAATACTTTTAATTAAGTCACAAAAATTGCATCTAAAAAGGTTTCTTGCTAATGTCCCCTGTTTTCAGCCCCTGATTTCCCCATCCTATAAAGAAAATAGGGTCTTAGATTTTAAAGTCTTTCATCAAGATGGCAGATGACATAACCAATTTCATGGAATTCTACTTTGCTAGCCCTGAGAGATGAGACAAATTTTATGGGAATTTGAGCCTGTCAACTCAAGGATTTTCATCTTGTAGCCACACTTTCTGTTAAAGTAAGATCAGATAGTCTATTTACCCTGCAAACATTTTTAGGGCAATTTTTTAATAAATAAATATGTGTTTTCTCTATGCACCACAGTGTTCAGAAGCAAAGTATTCCTTCATTGCTAGAAGGCAGAGATGCTCTTGTGAGATCCCAGACAGGATCAGGTCAGCATTTAATTTTTCATTTGTCTTTAGTTGCTCATTATTCCTACAATTATATTGGGGTGTGTGTGTGTGTGTGTGTGTGTGTGTGTGTGTGTGTGTGTGTATGTGTGTGTGTGTGTGTGTGTGTGTATTAACTGTAGCACTAATTTTGTTCATTTAATAAAAGGAAGGGGCCTATTGAACTTATCAAAATTAAGCATGTTTAGGAACTAAAGTATTTCTGCTATAACTCTAACTTATAGCTAGAGGATTGTATCACCCTCCCTTCCTAACCCCCCCCCCCCACTTCTGTGTGCAGGCACAGATAGCCTCAAAATAATGGAGATTTACAATTACGTGAATGCTGAAAAGAAATCAGGTTTTGAGTAGAGAATTTTTTACTGACAATGATCTTGACACAAGAATGCATATTATTGGGACAATGTTCATTTTGTTTAGACATGGGAGATTTTGTTGTTTTCAGTCCAATTTGCAGTTGCCCTGTTGAGTTCTCCAATGGAAACTCATTTGCTCCTTTTTTCCACGGATGTGATTTGAGGGCTGTTCAGGCTGGTAGAAATCCAAAGTATCTGCTGTTTGGTTGGTTTTTCATTGGCCTCTGTAGGCTCTTGGGTGGGGTTCCATCTGATTTTTAGCAGACTGACATCTTTCACACATCACAGAAATACCTGTGAAAATGGCACTTAGTGAACTTCTTGCCTTTAGCTCATAGGAGTAGTTAAATAGGACCTCAGAAAATGAGCTCCTTCGAAGGTTCTCAAATCAGCCTCCAGACCAAGCACTGTTGGAACAGTTTAGGAAATGTTACTCCTTATTTAGTGGATAAAGGTCCAAAGGTTTCCTGGCTCTTTGAAAAATATGGATTTCACCAAAATGTGATCAGGAGGTAGGAAGTTAATTGGGTATGGATTCCTTTTCACTTTGGTTTAACATCCTTCTCTTTCCTCCTCCCCCCACTCACCCTTTAAACTGAGGCCATTCATTTGTGAAAGTATGTTTTTCTTCTCTCTCTGGCCTAAAATCACACCACCACCAAAAGAATAGCACAGCATTTCTCCCTGGTGGCCTTCGATTTTATTTTCTGCAGGAGCTGAAGTCTGCAGCGTCCACTGTTTTTATTACTTTTACATTTATTTATTTCTTTAAAAGGTAAAACGCTTGCCTATTGCATCCCTGTGGTTCAGTCTCTTCAAGCGATGAAGTCGAGAATACAGGTTCGTATAAGTAAAATGTGTTTTTCAGTTATTGTTCACTATGAAAAAGCAGCTATCAAATTGAATCAAAACAGCCATATTGGGACTTATAGAATCTCTTTTCACCGAGCAGTGTTGTGTATGTTAAATCTAAATATTGCTAATCCCCCTGCTCACAGTGGGGGTGAATAATAGCAAATTCATGATTCAGTGTTCAGCTTATATTTTTACTGCGAATGTTAATCACTTATTAACTTAAGCAAGACATAATACCTTGATTGCAGCAACCTTATCTAGCACTTCTTTATATCCCCAGTAACAGCTAGCAAAGTGTTTTCCTCATGGTAGACACTTAAAAAATATTTATTGATTTGATTTATAGGTTTGAGTAGATGAAAATGTAAATATGTTGAAAAATATAAGAATGAAATTCCAATGTGGGAATGAACATTCATTCATGTTCTTTACTCAGAACTTGTAAGAAGATAGAGCAAACAAGTAATTAAATTTGATATTGTATAACAAATTGTATAAACAAAACTCTAATTAATGGATTTGCTAATTGATCTTCCCTTCTTTGGACCTTATCTGAAATTTGTCTCGAGCTATGAAATACTTTTGGTCAGGGTACCTTACTAATTACCAGTAAATAAGCAAGCGTTCAGTAAATGCCTACTGTGTGTTGTACTCTGGGAATACAAAGGCAAAAAAATGAAGCACTCCCCCTTCTTAAGGAGTATCCACTAAGTTTGGATTTCTATGTAGGCCTGGTAGCTTTAGTCTGCATAAAATTCACCCCAGATCAAGTTGAATATCCAAAAAATACATATCCTTCAAAATGGAGAACAGGTGAGGGAATGTGGATGAATTGACATAAACTCACCACCTCTACTAGAAAATAACTCAACTTGCAGCTTACAAAACATCATCTAAATTCATTTGTTCATTCAAAAAGAAATTGCTAAGTACCTGTTGTGTGCAAGGTGTATACTTGAGCAAAAGTCAATAACTATCTGAAGAAGAATATTTCCATTGTGAATCCTTTGTAATAGATAGGAGGCAGTGGATAAAGGGCCATACTCAGAAACAGGAAGACCCAGGTTCAAGTCCTGTCTCTGATACAGCCTGGCTGTGTGACTGGGCATCTCAGAGTCCAGGCAACTCTCTAAGATGATAAATTGCAGAGAAGCTTCTGAGCCGCGTTGGTTGAGGGAGTTCCCATTTGAGAGTTCCCAATATTGACAAATCATAGGTCAAGTTCTTATTTTGTAATTGACTCATGAATAAAACCCATTACAAATATGTACAGTCAGGTAAGACAAATTCCCATATTAGCCACGTCCAATAAGAAAAGAAAAAGAAAAAGATATGCATACAAAGTTTTTTTCTTAAGGTCAAGAGAGTTGTCCAGTCTTCAAACTGGAGAAGACCGTAGAGGTCATGGAAACTAAACTTTTCTTTTTTACAGATGAGGAGATGGAAGCCCAGAAATGGGTAATGGTGTGCCCACATATCTGTAATTTTGTTAATAGAGTAAATTCCTGGGGGAGGAACTCCTGGTACAGAGAGGCAACTTTTAGCCTTAGAGGGTAGCTTGGGACACTGAAGGGTTAAGTGTTGTGCCTATGGTTGCAGTTTGTATATCCTAGTCAGAACTTGAACCTCAGTCCTCCCGGTTCCAAAAGCAGTCCTTTGTCCACTGCACCACATTCCCTTAGTGGACATAGTTTAATTTGTTTTATGTCCGAATCTGTTAACAAGTCATGTTATAATGGGATTGGAGGAGCCTACTGTAATTGTTCAAATATTGTTCTTATACCAATCAAAACATTATATTTAGTGATTTTGCATGAAAATCTCTCTATAATCATAGTTTTCTTTTATGAGGGTTGACGTCCTGGGAGGGGGTTGTGGGGAAGTAAGCACTGGAAAATATAGGTAATATGAAAAAAAAAAAGATATCAAAAATGTATCTGAAAAAATTTTAAATTTATAAGCCATAATAATTGTACATTTTAAAGTTACATTCAATACAACAAAACTGTAATATAAACAAAATAATTGGAAAGTGGATTTGATTATAAAAGGACTTGACCTGTAAGAAACCTGTTTATGGGGAATGGAAAAATCAAACCACCCAACAGATCCTTAAGTTACTTTGGTGAGAGAATTGAACTATGCTCCTTTTCTATATTTCTATTTTTTTCCCAATGATTTTGTCTGTGAGTTTTACTCTGTCCATTCCATCTCCATAAGAAATTACCATTCCCCCCCCCCTTTTTTTCTCTCTCTCGGTATGTAGCAACACCTTTTGGAATGTTAGGATTTCCAGTCTAACTTAGTGGCACATTGATGCTCCTCTTATCAGAATATTTAACACTTAATGGTATAAATTTCATCGTAGTCTCATGAAGGTAATATTAAGGAGAGAAATACTGCTTTGAATTCCATCTTTTGGTTCATTTATTTTTGTCATCAAACATTTATTGAGCACCAACTTTGTACAAGAGAGAACAGGGACTACTTTTTGCCTTTGTACCTTCTCCATTTAGCATAGTGTCCAACATAGCTGGTATTTAATAAATGCTTGTTGACTTACTTGTTCAAGGCACTGGTGACTTGGGGGTCTTTTAATCATGCCATATTAAGTTCTCTGTATCAGCAGTCTTGGGAAAATGTATGCAATGAACTCATTATTTCTTGTTACTTTCTACCCTTCTCAATAGCGCAGTGATGGCCCCTACACTCTGGTATTAGTGCCAACAAGAGAGGTAGGCTGTTTGACTCTCAAGGTTAATCTTAACTATTTTCAGTGTTGTCTTATTGAGTTTCAAACTTTTGGTTTTTTCCTTGAATATTTCCTCTCCCAAAGCAAGCAGATGTGGGTAAGCTATCATACACACCTTCATCTATTTCTTCCCTTTTTCTGAAGTCCTTCCTCTCTCACCCTATTATTCCTTCTGGAAATCTAGGAGGAAAATTCAGCAACCAAAGTATAGACATGAGTTTCCCTATTGTCTGAAAACCAAATGAAGTTTCATGAAAGCTTCATTCCTTAGAACGAAATAGAAGCATGTTTATTCTATTTCCCCCTCTTGGAGCTGTACAACTTAACACCAAAGCAAGATCAACATGTCTTTATTGAAAATAATTTTTAAGAAGCTACTCCCACCAAAAATCTTACTTATTTCCTTGAAGGTGAGCCTCCCAAGATTTTTCTTCCTTGGAAATCTCTTCTATATGATTTATTTGACTGCAGAGGCAATTTCAGAACAGGGTGTCAATGTTTTCTATATCAAATGCTAATAACTTTCCATGCAGAGAATTGATCGCAGGTATCTAGTTTTGGGCATAGCCTTTTATACAACCTGCAGTGCAATATCTCAGCTCGATTCTAGGAAAGGAGAAGACACTGAAGCTATTTAAATTTTTACAGTAGCAAACTTGCTACTTCCCTACGATGCTTCATGAATACTAAGTATGTGGAAACTATATGAGCTTGGTTAAAGTGATAATGTCAAGACCTTTTTGGTGGTTGTTAAGGAATGATAATTAATCTCATTTTTACTTTCTGTGGCTCCCTGTGCTTTCTTGCAGACTTGGGAAATGAATATCCATCTCTCTGCTTTAAAATGTTAAAATTACCGTAGTAGCACACTTAGAAGGCAGTCAGTTATTCAACCTTTGTAGCAAAGTTTCTAAGTGTTAGCCTGTTGCATCACCATTCTAGTTTCCCCTAGCCTGTCTCTTTCTCGGAGTCAAATCGAGGTTGACTTTGTTTCATTTCCTTCTATCTTTGCGCACCAAAGATGTCTAAATGCATGTGTGGTGCTCTGGGAATTTGAGCCAGCAGAGGGAGCACAAAACACTATTTTTGTTTAAGTCCAAGAAATAGATGTGATGCTGTGTTTACCCTCTCTCTTCCCCTATACTCTCAGTGGGTTTCAGAACTAGTATATGAAGAAACAGTTAATGTAGATACGATTTATCTTTTTTCTTGAATTACTTATTATAAGCTTTCAATTGGGTCAAAGTTGAAATACTAATCATTTTGTCTGTCTCCATTCTCTTTCTTTTTTAAAAATATCTGCCTCACCATATGAACCTTTTCAATATTTGCAGCTGGCTCTACAGACCTTTGATACCATCCAGAAACTGCTTAAGGTAAGGAAAGCCATGAGCTTGGGTGGTATCATTCCATTTTTTGCAAAGTGAAGAAACAACCACACCTTAAAGTCCCAGGAAAGACTCATTTCCTCTATTCCTTGGCCTTCCATAATATTTTGCTGGAAATCTATTTGGCTCTGTTTTGGAATTGGAAAGATTTTGCCCTGTTGTATGCATTGTATGTTGGCCATTGCTAGATTCTTAGTTCTTGACTAGTTGGTCATCGGTAACCTTCACTGCTTATATTCTCTCAAAATGTTCACCATGGCTAAGTGTGCGCACTGAACACCAGAAGCAACTTTATTTTTATTTATTTATTTTTGGTTAGGCAATGGGGTTAAGTGACTTGACTAGGGTCACACAGCTAGTAAGTGTTATGTGTCTGAGGCTGCTTTTGAACTCAGGTCCTCCTGAATCCAGGGCTGGTGCTCTCTCCACTGCGCCACTTAGCTGCCCCCTCAGAAGCAACTTTAAAAGCTGTGAGTGGTGCATTTATGAGACTACGGAGAAAGGTACAAAATCTCAATATCTGTCAACAAAGGATTTTACTTAAGCTTCCATTTCCCCTGTTGCTTAGGTATTTCGAAGCAGTGTTTTTTACGATAGGCAACAGAAAGCAATAGACTTGTGAAATGTGTTTTTCTGTTTATGCTATGAGAAGAGCAGCAACCATTTGAAGCAATGAAAAAAATGAATACATTTCTGTCTTCTTATGCCATGTGGGAAGCCTGTTGTGGAGTTAAAATTTTAAGTTACTGCCTGTCTTAACTCTGGGCATTGTAATGCCTATGAGATGTACCTCCATTATTAGGCCTCCTGCAACATAGTGATAACCTTGAATTCTTTCCCTTGATTTGTTTAAAGGAGAAAAAAACCTTTTTTCCATTAGTCCCTGTACTCTTGGTTTAAAGAAAAAAAGCTTTATATTGATCTTGAACTGTTCCCTTCACTGTAGCCATTTACCTGGATTGTGCCTGGAGTGTTAATGGGAGGAGAGAAGAGAAAATCAGAAAAGGCCAGGTAAGACTTTAAAAATTCTATTTAAGGGTCCTACTTCTCTCCTACATTCCTTTTAGAATCACTCTTACCTATGGGCCTTTCAACCGGGGGGAGAAGCTTCTCTCAAGCTGTGTGTTCCATAGTTCCAATACAGAAGAAGCTATCAGGTTGGCAGGGAGCAGTCACATCCAGACAGTTAGGTCTGTTTTTAAAATATTGATGAGTCTTCTGACTTAATGTTCCCCAGGGAGGGTGGTGGTTGGTGGTAGTAGTAGTAGTAGTAGTAGTAGTAGTAGTAGTAGTAGTAGTAGTAGTAGTAGTAGTAGTAGTAGTAGTAGTAGTAGTAGTAGTAGTAGTAGTAGTAGTAGTAAAGGTTTGTTGTTGTTGTTTTTAAATACACCTACATTGGTTCTTAAAACTATATATTGCCTTATCTGTAATAGGACCAGGTGGAAAATTGTCACTAGAAGAAAAGCCCAAATCATCTGTTTGTTTTTTGGTCTTTCATATTGTTTTGTAAGTTGGTAGTGTGTCACATTGTTGAAATAAGCCTGCACGCTTTAACCTGAACCCCAAACATCTAATATTGTTCTGTGTTTTTAAAAATTGTGTTCAGCAGCATGGAGAGGCTGAAAAAGACTGTTTTAGCTGAAATGCATCTTGTTAGCTGTATATTTTCATTTCATCTATTGGACTGAAGGGCTTTTCATGATTTTATGGTATATGGAATTAATACTACCAAAAAACCAAAATTCACTTGCAACTTGCTTTTTTCTTGAGATTCCTACTGATATAGACACATTTGATTTATTACACCTGTTTCTGTATATTTTGTTTTAAACAGACTACGCAAAGGGATAAACATCCTAATCTCAACTCCTGGACGTCTAGTAGATCACATTAAATCCACCAAAAACATTCATTTCAGTCGAATACAGTGGTTGATTATTGATGAGGCAGACAGGTGAGCTTCCCCCTACTAAACCCACAGGCTTTGTAGGGAAGTCTTTGTTTCTTGTGTTTTCTGTTTTAACCTCCATAGCCCACAACCTGACTCATTTCCCCTGATATAAATGTAAATTTCCTCTCTCTTGCAATCTCAGGATCCTGGACTTGGGTTTTGAGAAGGACGTCACTGTGATTCTCAATGCCATAAACTCAGAATGCGAGAAACGTCAGAATGTCCTGTTGTCAGCCACTCTTACTGAGGGTGAGTTGGATGGTGTTTGCGATGTCTTCATTTTTAATGTAGATAACCTGAATTATTAGTTGAAATGAATATGATATGTCCACACATTCATTTTGGGATTGCTAAATATAACTGGCACAGTAGAAAGGTGAGGCCTATGGAGGTAGAATACACTATACAGTGGCACAATGGCTTTATGAGTTGGCTTTGCTTAAATGTTTTTCTTTGTTCTGCAGAGGGTTTTAATGAGGTAATGGGGAGTTAATGGGGAGATGGCTATGGTTTAAAAAAAGAAAAAAGAGCAGCAAAGCCTAAAGAATTCAGTCTAGCAAGAGAGGTTACAGAGAAGAAAAGAGCCCTGATTTGGGGGTCCTGTGACCCAAGTTCAGATTCAGGCTCTGACTTGTGTGACCAGAGCAAGTTACCTCCCATCTCGGAGTCTCAATTCCCTCATCAGTATGATGAGAGGGTTGGACCATGTGATCTGTACAGTCTCTTTAGCTCTCAATCCTGTGACCTCTGCAGATTCAGGATGGAAGGTTCTGTGAGCAGCCCATTGAAAACAGGCTTTCTCACTGTTAACAGCATCAGTCCTCATCCTCATCATTTTAAGTGCATGTTTAATGTACCTGTTGTACCTTGAGCTTCCATTAGCACCTTCGAAGCACATTCATTTCTGCTGAGTTTTCCACTGTCACTGTGAGATATGTAAGATAAAAATTATTACCCTTTTTGCAGGTGAAGAAACCAAAGGCACAGCAATGTTCAATGACATGTCGACGAGGGTCATATAGTCAGTTACTGACCAAATAGGGACTAGAATCCAGCTTTTCTAACTCTTAGCCTGGTACTCTGACCACAAGACTATAACACCTTCTGCCTTTTCAGTGCCCTCACTTATGTGCCCTTTATACCTGGGAAATTGGGGGGAAAAAATCATGGCTCTACCCCTATAAGTTGACAGTACTGGCATGGGTAGATTAGCACTAGATTATAAAAGCCGCCATTGGAAAGAGGCCCATCTAAAATGTCCCACTATCCCAATGAGATGTTGTGCATATGAGTGACCCATTTCACATTGTATATTTAATCATAATAGGAATAATAGCTAGCATTTTAAAGTTTACAAAGCACTGTGTATGTTGTCTTACTTGATTTATCTCCAGTTTCTCCTTTTCCCATTGCTAAAAGGTGTAACGAGGTTGGCAGATATCAGTTTGCACAATCCAGTCAGCATTTCTGTATCAGATGAAGCCTGTAACCAGCCCATTAAAGGATGCAAAGCAGCCAGAGAAGCCAGTCACCTACAAACCAGTGCTGAGCTGGACAGCTTTGCTGTGCCCGAGAAGCTCCAACAGCATGTGACACTGGTTCCCAGCAAACTGAAGCTCGTCACACTAGCAGCCTTCATTCTTGGAAGATGTGAGGTGAGCCTGAGGCCCGGGCCTGGTGTGCCTTTTAATATGGGTCTGGGAACATGAGCTAGACTTCTACAAGGGTCAGACTCTGGTTGAAAGCCCTCCACCTATTAAACTTGTCTGTTTTTTCAGGCTCCAGGCTATGGGACTAATTCTTGAATCATATTCAGGCATGTACAGAGGGGTACTGATAGTCATTATGTGCAGAGCAAAACATCACCAAAAAGTACTTTTCCAGAGACTCATGTTGATGACATAATAGTAGGAATATTTGGGGTATCATTCCAGATAAAGAGAACTGAAGCTAGTGGGTTTGGGTTTTTTTTTAAGGATTATGGTATTTATAGTATTTATTTACTATATTTGTATAATGCCTTTTCCCTGAGGATCCCTTGAAATAGGAAAATTGTAGATGGAGGAATTCAAGAATGAAGCCTTTAGAGTTACTGCAGATTTAAACAGTCTGTACTAGGCTTTACTGTGTCTCTGACAAGCAGGCCCAATTTACAGCCTGGCTAAAAGAACATCTGCTTTTCACAGATACAAACAAACCAATCCTGTGTTAGGATGTGGGCCTCTAATTACCTTTCTTGCATCCTTCTTAGGAATGGAGTGAATATTGTCCTTTTGAGGACTCGATTCCATTATCCAGGTTTGCAAATCTGTGTCAGTGTGGCCAGTCATCCTAGCAACTGATTTATTTTGTATGTTAGCCTGATCACGAAATCTCTTATTTTTTTGTTTTGTTTTGTTTTCCCTTGGATTGAAACAGTTTGAAAAACACCAGAAGCTGATTGTCTTTTTCTCGAGCTGCGAGCTGGTCGAGTTCTACTACCACCTCTTCCTCCAGACCCTGCTGGGCAGCGCCATGGCCCCAGCATCAGGGCCGTCACCATCTGCCTCCTCCCGATTAAAATTCCTGCGTCTGCATGGCAACATGGAACAGGAGGTAAGCTCTGCTGCATCTCACCATGGGACAGAATATCCCTGAGATGAGAAGCCAGGGAAAGGCCAGCCCAAGTTCTATCTAAACCGTCCTTCAGGTTCAGTGCTGGGTTGCATCCCCTCTGACTTCTCTCCTGGGCTTGGGGAAGAGTTATTGTTTTGCCTAAAATGAGCCTTCCATCAGAGACAGTAAATAGATTGGACTGATTTATTGATCTGGGCAGGGGAGGACTATGGTTCCCTTGTCGGCACCAAGAGCTGCGCGTGGTTGCCCCTTGTTGCTGGCCTCTCCTCTACCTAAGAGATCTAGCAGGCCCTAAGTTTGGCCTGAGTCTACCTCAACCAGCTGTTAAGGCAACAGAGCACCACTAAGTAGCTGGCACCAGGGAAGGGTTTTGCCTTTTTAGTACCCAGTGTGTAATTAGTGCTTGATGTCTTCAAATTAAGAGCATTAATGGAGCTAAATTGTGGATCCCATATGGTACTGCTGAGCGTGACTGCTGTCATTGTCAACAAGATACAGCGCTCTCTCTTTTTAAAAAATCTTTTTGGGAGCAGGTACAGTGCACCAGAGGGGCTTCGGGTCCCATCTCCATCCTTGGCATAGAATTTCATATCTTGTCTGGGATCAAGTGTGTTAAGTTTTGCTTTTTTTAGGCACTTGGACAGCTCTCTCATTCAACCTTGTACTCTAACTAGGTCACACATTTAGGGAAGCCGAGCCAGTTTGGGAAGCAAAGAGTTAGGCAAGCATACTGGAAGTGTGGAACAATGGACCAGCAGAAAGTGGACCCAGGATGTGTTATCTCAGAGAAGAGATAACTAGGCTGGGTGAGAAAATTTGTAATGAGATGGTGAAATAAAACCAGAAATCTGGAAGTAGGATGATTTAGACAGGTGCTGTGTTTTGATTGAAATAGAATGTCAAAGCTGAAAGGAACCTTAGAAATTGGATACAACCTCCTCATTTTACAGATGGGGAAACTGAGGCCCAGATTGGGGCACTGACTCCCCCGAAGGTCACAGAGGGAGTAAACGTCAGAGCGAGGACACCTAGAATCTCTGTATCTTGACTCCCAATCTTTCTAGTCCTATCAAGCTACCTCTTAACACTTTTCCTAATTTATCAGTGGAAGAGGCGATGTAGGGTATTCTGATTATCCAGCCCTCATTGATCCTAGCAGAGTAGACAGGTTAAACCCTTGCTCAGTTTGATCTGTCCCTCTATCACAAATCAAGGTCTCTTGTCATGAGAAACCTGAGGCTTTGATAAAGTAACATTCTGGAGGCTGGATCTCTGTTTATTGGCGGAACTGTGTCTGAACTCTGAGCTCTGCTAGTGGAAAGGCAAGAGACCAGGGTAGAGCCACAGAGCTCTGGGGCTCCATATTTCTGGCCCATCTTTAGAAAGTAGTCAGCTTATTTTCATTTCAGGAACTCGCTGAATAGAAGTAAATACAATAATATTGATGCCTCATATTTAAATAGTACTTTAAACAAAGGATTAGTCTTCTCAGTGTCTCTGGGAAGTTAGGTACAAGTTGAGTAGTGTTCTCTCCATTTTTCAGATGGAGAAACTGAGAGAGCAAATCTTTGCTTGAGGCAGAACTGCTAATAGAACCTAGTTTGTTACTCTGTCCATTGAACTTTCTATAAGTTTCCCCAAAGGATTCTCATAGTTTTACTAAAAGCAGTGGATCATAGGAAAAAATAGGTTGGCGGGAGGCCTTTCATGGTAGGGACAATGGAAGCTTAAGTATTTAGTAGCTCCTCTTTACCCCCCCACCCCGCCTCCAAATCGGTGTATTTTATATTCAATCTAGATGACAGAACTGATTCTCAGGAACTCTTTTTGGGATTTAAGATCGTGGTTCCACCAGAGCCCAGGGCAGCACCTAAACTTGGTTTGGCCTGTTTTTGTATCCCCAGTGCTTAGCTCAGTGTCTGGCACATAGTAATTGCTTAACAAACGCTAGTTGACTACATGACTGATAGGACTGTGCTCCACTTAATTTTTTTTTTCTGTATATGATTTTAGGGGAGGTTTTTTCATCTTTTTTTGGGGGGGGGGCTAGTCAGTGGGTGATGAAACTGAGCCTGAGAGGATAAGTGACTTGCCCAGGGTCATACATCTAGTAAGTGTCAAGTGTCTGAGGCTAGATTTGAACTCAGGTCCTCCTGACTCCAGGGCCAGTACTCTATCCACTATGCCACCTAGCTACCCCTGATTTCAGTTTTGAAGAAGAGTTAAACTATAAATCAGAACACTCACGTTCTAACCCCAGCTCTGTCACAACTCCCACTGGGGCCTTGGCCAAGTTAATTTACTTATTAGGGCCTCAGCTTTCCCATCTGTACAACAAGAAAGTTGAGTTGGGTGCTCTCCACAGCCCTTTCTAGCTCTAAGAATCTCTTTGCCTGGCCAATAAAATAAGCCATTTTCTCTCCTGTCTAGTTTCTGAATCCATAGCTTTTATGCAATGTGTGTCAGGGATCATGGTGGGGAGTAGGATGCACATTCCTAGTCTAGGCTTGAGCTTCATTAGTGTTCAAGGCAGCCCTGGCACAAAGGAAGTCTATGGAGATCAGGCCCGAATCAAAAGGCTGAGCGGTTCCTGACTCTGTCCATCATGCTCCCTCTCAGGTGTTGGAAAAATGTAGTGCCAGGGACCATGGCATTCCTGGGGAGCTTAGAAGGGATGCTGCCTTCTACTTAGGCCTCTCCCTCCTGGCAGATGGACATGGCCCTGAGTGCTCAGAAGCCTGTGCCTTGAGCACCATCAAAACTCGTCCTTTAGGGGAATGAATAAAGAGTAGAATGAAGTGTTCTTCATTTCTCTAATCAAGTAGTCCCCAACTTTTTTTCCTTTTTTAATCTGGACCCTTTTAAAAAAATAAACCCTTTTTTTAATGTAAAAAAAAATCGGGAACCCCTCACAATGATAGTAGTTACAGCATCAAAAATATAGGACAGAATTCAATAGTGCTTTTAAATAAATTTCTATTTTATTAATTTCTATACCATATACATACATTTGAAAAATAGTAATACCTAGTTGTGTACAACCTCATTCATTTCAACCTACAGAAGCCATGTTTGCTAAATAAAGATCAGATGACAGTGCTTGGTACACATGTGGATTTTTAAATGTCTTAACGATAAGTTTAATATTGCTGGTCTCCAGCTACAAGTTAGAAGCCACTACATTAGAACACTTGTGTTTGAATTTGTTCAGAGTAATTTCAGAGGTGGTAACTAAGCTCATGGACTCATGGACTTAGAGGTGGGATAGATCTTAGAGAACATCTAATCCAAGCCCTTTGTGCTGTAGGTGAGGCAGAAGGACTTGCCTGGAATCATCCAGCTAGTCAGTGACAGAGCTGAGACAAGAGCAGTCTTCTCTGCTAAGTTTCCTGACTTGCACATCAGGTCTTGGATCTTCTGTACTCTTGGATTTGGCCTGTGTTCTCAAGGATGTGTTTATAAGGGTGTGTTGCTGTTAAAATCATGCTGATAAGCATCTTTTTTTGGGGGGTGGAGGGAGCTGCTAGTAAAAGAATAATATTCCTCCCAAGGCTTGAGAATCTTGTGTTCTCCCTGATTTATGTAGGCAGGTTCTTAAATGAATGTGTTTTTCCACTGATAGCTTACTCCCTAATTTTTTTGTTGTCATCTTCTTCCTCTTTGATGAAATAGTCCTACTGTCAGATTTTGGAGGTTCTTTCCTCTTTCTCATGGCAAAGCCCCTCTCTGCCTTTAAATGGGCATAAAACTAGAAAGTTGGGAAAATGGGAAAATTTTACACAGCTAAAAATAAGAACCTACGATTCTTTGTTTTGTAGGAAAGAACAGCAGCTTTTCAGGAGTTCTCACAATCCAAATCAGGCATCTTGCTTTGTACGGTATGTATTTTTCACTAGTGCCTGGGGAAGACGAGGAGAGGTTGGATTTTGGGGAATAGGTGGGTCTTGACATTTTGTACTTTCATCAGCCCTACAGAGAGAGGGGATACTGCTGGCCCCCTTGGGTTTCTGGCTTTTCTATAATGCTGATTTGTGGTCTGCCAGTGCCTACACATAGCCTGCTACAACAGTGTAGAAGGCTGGGCTATTTGCTCTCTAATAGTGGCAGCTGTTGGTCTGAAAATGTGTGAATCTTGGCGATTTCTACCCACCGAAAACTTGTAAATTATAGCTATCGGGAGTAATTAGAGCTGAGAAACTCTTTCCAGGTCTGAAATTACTCTGCTTGCTTCTGCACATCTTTCCTTAAAGGAAAATAGATGCAGTTGGGCAGATTTGATTTGCCATTTTTTAAAACTATCATTTGCCCTGCAATTTTCAGGGCCAGTTCATTCAGCCTCAATCTTGGCAATTTTGGATGACTACTCCTTCCTGTATAATGTCTGACCTGTTTAATGTGCATCTCCCTTGTGCTAGTCTAAGACTGAAGAACCCACATCTTCCCTGCTTCATACTCTCCAGAGATGTACTTGTATTCTCCTAAAACCAAAATAGACCTCTCTGATTGTACCATCTTGGTGAATACAACTTCAATCCCCAATTGATTATTTGAGGAGTCTCTGTATGCACAGTAATGAAATTCAGTTGCGTTGCATGGTATATAGTAAATCTAGTCAACAAATGCTGGGTAGGAACATGGAGAAACTTATCACACTGGATAACTCTCTAGGCTGTGGTCAATACAATTAATTACATTTTTAGGTAACTCATTGTTCTCTTAAATTGAATTAGAATTGTCTTCCTTCTCAGTTATCTTATTTAAAGTTTGTGAATGAACTTTTGTTTTCATCGGGTGCACATATAACACGTATTGTTGCCTAATGACCCACTAATTCTATTTATCATAGTAAGCAGAGTTGACACTTATAATCAGAGGAACTGCAACCAGATGCCAGTCAGGGTAGCTGTGTCTCTGCTGTCCTGGCATGTTGCCGCCACAGATTATAGATCATAGGTTTTAGAGTTGGAAGGGGCCTTACCTTAGAGGTCATAGAATCCAACCCCTTCATTTTACAGGTGATGAAACTGAACCTGAGAGGATAAGTGACTTGCCCACAGTCACACAGCTAATAAGTATCTGGGTCAGGTATCAAATACAGGTACTCCTGATTCCAAGTCCAGTGCTCTATCCACTATACCACATGGCCTTTCAAATAGGTTCATGTCTACTTTTGCACAGGTAGGGAGTCCATCAAGTCAAAATGATCAGGGATCATATTTTTAAAAGAATTATCCCTGGGGCAGCTAGGTAGCGCAGTAGATAGAGCACCAGCCCTAGAGTCAGGAGGAGTTGAGTTCAAATTCAGCTTCAGACACTTGACACTTACTAGCTGTGTGACCCTGATCAAGTCACTTAACCCCATTGCCTAGCAAAAAAAACCCATAAAAGCAAACAAATAAACCAAAAAGAATTATCCCCAAAAAGAATTATCTTTTATGACTTGGACCCTTATGGCATCCTGGTCAAGTCTTTGAACCCTTCCTCAGGATAATGGGGTGGTGTTCTTTTTTTTTCTTTTCTTTTTAAATTCATAATTGAAAGAAATGCAAATTTTCAATTAGAAGTTAGTGAAAATAAATATATAATTTTTTCCCACCCAGTTTCACAGATCCTCTGAAATCTATCCATGGACCCCAAGCTAAGAACCCCTAATCTAGAGGGATGAAGACAGTTCCAAATAATTTAGGGTCTTGACCAAAAAGAAAACATATTCCATGTATAGCATAGACACAATTCAAGAAGTTCGGTGTTGAGGACCAATGCCAAAATTTGTTTTCTGAAGGAAAAAAGTGAATAGCTCATGTGTCAATAGCATTTTCTTCACAATAACCCTATGAGATAGGTAGCACAAGAGTTATTTTCATTTTACAGGTGAGGAAACTGAGGCTCAGAGCTGAGCTGCCTATCGTTACATAACTAGTAAGTGTCAGAACTAAGGCTTGAAGTAAAATCTTCCAATTCCAAGTCTAGCACTTTTCCCACTACACCAAGATGCTAAAATTGATGTATTTGCTGCTCTTGAGGATTTGCTGCTCACATACATTGAAGTATCTTGGGGAATGGACAGTGTTGTGTGCTGCCTATATCAATACCAAAAAGCAGTTGGTTATCTTGTTTGAAGTTTGGAAAGCAGCAAGTAGGTCAGACCAACAGTAGGATATCCCAACTCTGTCTTTGACAGTGCCAGAAGGTGAATAAATTGCAAAATCATTCCTTAAAAATTGTCTTTTTTTTTTTGAAGTATGCAAATGCCAGTGTGCTTTGTGGGTACGAGCGAGCAGCAAGCCTCAAAGAAAGCTATAAGTAGCCAAGGGTCAGACAGGTTTTCAGTAAGTCCCCATGGAAGGAAAGATCATTGCTTCTGAAATGAAATTCTCCACTGGGATCAAGAGCATGTGATGACTTTTATGGGCTCCCCTGGTTATGAGCAGTCCTTGGTGCTTGCTAAAGCAACTTTGTCAGAGGGTTCAAAACTGCTGCCAACGTCACAAACTTTGTCCTAAGCCATCAGATTTCACCCTGAAATCTTGCTTGTGGCATAGCAGTGACTGTAACCAAAGACCGAGAGCATCGTTGATTTAATCAAGTATGGCCCACAGCCCTGGTATTTCTTGTATGTCAATAATACTTCAAGGAGCTGGGGTTTTATAATCATTCCATAGGTGCAAATCAAATCCACTGCAGTGTTGTGTGGGCTTTAAAAGTCTCTGTGGCTGAAAAATCTATCCATCTGAGGCCAACCTGGTCATGAACCCCTTGTACCTTAAACCAGGCTGGTCCTTGGACAACAGACATAGAGTCTGTTCCAGGACTCCATACCTAAAACATTTCCAGCTTGGTAGAACCTGTCAGGCCTGATTGGCTTTTGAGGGCTCCGAGTCACCTCTGTGTCTTATGATGAGGCACCAGAATAGGACTTAAATGGAAGAGTGCTGGCACTACATTAAAAACATTCTCATTTGATGTCTGTCTAATTTCCCTAAGGCCCACGGGCTTGTGCTAATTTTCATGGCTGTGTTAATATGCTCTGGTTATAGTGTGATGCAGTGGTGTCATGACCCTGCCACTCTTACCCTTTACTCTGAAATGCAGCCTATTGGTGGACACATTGTCCTGGTGAAATGGTTGAGGAGCTCCATGTATCTCAGTTCCTAAGGCAGGGTTTAAACCCCAGTTCTGCAGTGATGAAAGTTCATGCTTTTATCCAGTGTCCCTGCTGCCTCACCTAACATATTTGTTTGTTTTAACCTGAGCTTCTGGCACCTGAGAGCTGCAGGGCACACTCGCCGCACTGTCATAGATCATGCCAGGGTTAGGAGGAGAGATTGTCACCCTGCTTCCTTCTAAGCAGCCTGTTGCTTGCCAGGCTATCTGAATGCTCTCCAGGAGCCTCCTTAGTGTTAATGAGGAACGAGAGCCACGTCAGGACAAGGCAGATGGAGAATTGGCTTCTTTTGAGAAAGAGGAAGTGTGTTGTTAATTGTTCTTTGTCCTCCTCCTCCTCCCCACGCCACCCCCCATATTGTGCCTCTTGGCATTTTGTTTTATCACCCCAAGAGGCTCACCCCCATGAGACCTGAAGAGTGGGTGACTCTACAAGGATTTGGAAATTATGTAACTACCAAAGGTTATAATAGCATCTCCTTCCCTGTCAGAAAGTGTGTGTGTGTGTGTGTGTGTGTGTGCACACACGCGTGCGTGCATGCAGGCACGTAGTTCTTACTGAAAGGCTTTTCAAGATTGTTTGAATGCAGCAATAATTCATTTGGGCCCATGCAGCATCCTCTATGCCATGTTCAATGTATTATATGAGATGTTAGGGGTACAAAGAAGAAAAGCGGTGGAGTGTCTTCCCCCAAGGGGTTTATAAACTAATTTAAGTTCCTTAGTGTTTATCTCACGTAAGTGGGTTTGGGCTCACTCAAGCTCTGTGAAATCAGGGACCCTTCTCTTCCCATTCCATATAATTCTTTTGGGACCTGTTATTACTCTTTGTCCACAGTAGGTAATTAATATTTGAAGTTGATATTAATTCAGTTAAATTTAACATACATTTATTAAGCTCCTACTATGTGTACTTGGGGCAGCTAGGTGGTAGTGCAGTGGATAGAGCACTGAGTCCGGAGTCAGAAAGATCTGAGTTCAAATCCAGCCTCAGGTGCTTACTAGCTGTGTGACCCTGGGCAAGTCACTTAACCCCTATTTGCCTCCTCTGTAAGATAGATACATCCTAGAGAAGGATATGGCAAACCACTCCAGTAGCTTTGTCAAGAAAACCTCTTGGACATGACTGGATAACAACAACAATGTGCACTAAGGCACTGTGCTAGGTGCTGTGGATACAGAGATTTAAAAAATTATGCTAAACTTGCCCTCAAAGAGCTTGTGATCTAATAGGGTGAAATATGTATGTACATAAGTAATGAGAAAAAGGTGGAAGGGCAGATGAGAAGGTTGTTGGGAAAGGAGCCATAATCAATAAAAAGGCTGTCTACAGGAATTTGACAGGGTATTTTTCTGTCCTGAGCAAGTTGGGACTAGCAGAAGTTCCAAGTTCAATGTGTATGTGGGACTTGGCAGAAAAGAAGCATTTTAGGTTTTCCGCTCTCCAAAATGAAATTGGAGAGTCCAAGAGATAAGATGCAGGAAACTGGCATAAGTAGTACCACCTTCCGTTTCCTTACAGGAAAGAAGAGTGAAATAGGAAAACATTTTTTAAAAAAATATAACTTTCAGATTTATGAAATAGAGAGATGAAAGAGAAACAAAACCTTGAAAGAGCAATCCAGAAATGCTGTTTCCAAACTGTCTCAGTGTCCTTAAGGCCCGCGGTCAGCTCTGCCTGCTGCTGTGTGTGGCTCTCTGATTGTCCTTGATATACATGAAGTACAGGAACCCTTTCCCCAAGGAGCGGGGAGTCACAATCCTAGCACAACCTCATTCTGGCTGATTGGTTATGAGTCAATTTTCCTTGCTGCCAGAGCACACGGTTCTTTTACAAAGGACAGTCAAATAATCTGCTAATCTGCCCTGTTTTCCTCTAGTTTCGTGATTTCCTTTGCCTCATGCACCTTCTTGTGTCTGCCTGCTTCTTATTTCCTCTCCTACTGGTCTATTTCCACAGTGCCAAGTAGTCAGGAAGACAAAGGAGGTGATTGTACGGGGTGAAGGGGAATGCTGAAGAGTAGAAAATTCCCTTCCCCAAACTGCTTTCAGTTTTCCCCCAGCCTTCTTTAGGATATGTCTTTTAAACAAAGTTCATCTTCTCCACGTTATTTTTTTTAAATGGAAAGATCACTTGGAGATCGTTTGTTGTTTACTCAGTCACGCTAACTCATGTTGCCAGTTTTTTGGCGGCTCCAGCCAAGAGCTCTCGCCTCTGACAGTTTCTGCACTCTCTCCTTCCTCCTCTGATTACACAGCCCAATCTGTCAACCGGACAACGGGGGCCTGTACCCCGCTGATGGCTTTCCACACTCGGCAATAATGACTTTTGGCAGGCCGGGAAGGCGTCAGAGGCGAGTTCTCTCCGTCCCTCACTCGGAGAGCCGGCAGGCCCCCTCTCCCTGTTAGTTAAAGTACTTTGTGAGGTTCTTGGGTAAATAAATGAGTCATTTTAATCCAACTGACAGGTTGGCACCTGAGCAAGCTGCCTTCCATCTGTACTCCTAGGTCTCATAGAGGCAGCCAATTGTCAAGCTAGGGCCTTCAAGACCTCACCATTGAGTGTCTTTCAGAACTGACTTGAGCAATTCTTTTGCCCTAATTAGATTGCATGAGTGGAACTGGAGGAGAGGAGTCTAAGTTCTAACGGACAAGCAAGGCACTAAACACCTTTGCTGAGTCACAGGGTTGCATCCATTCAGGCATTTAATAGGCATCGTGACTGCCCATTATACTGGTTGCAGCCCACATCCTAGGCTCTGGAAAGGCAAATATGGCCACTACAGTTCTATGTTGGAAGCCAAAGGAAGGATATGTGTAGGTCCCTCATGAGCATGAGGTGTGGTTGGTGAGAATATATTTGGGGACGGTTTGAGGCAGTGAAGCCATTATTTAGCTTGAAATATAACCACCACTATTATAATGATATTTTACATTCGTATGGTGCTTTACAGTTTTCCAAGGATTTTTGCAGGCAAAGGAGGTGTTCCCCCCACACACTTTTTTTTTAACAGACTCGAGAAAAATGATACTGAGATGGGTGAGGGGACTTGTACAGACTCCATTTTTCTTGGTTCCCTTTCATTGTACCATGTTATACACTAGAGCAGGGGTGGGGGACCTGTGGCCTCGAGGCCACATGTGGCCCCTCAACGTGTGACCCTTTGATTGAATCCACATGTGGCCTCCAGGCCACAGATTCCCCACCCCTGCTCAAGATTCTATACAGTAAGAAGAAACAGTTTAGTTAGGGATGGAGGAGACACAAAAACTTGGTGTACCTCAAGATATTCATTTTCCATTGACATAAGATATAGCAGTAGAAGCATTAGTAGGGCAAGTCTTGTCCAATTGTCCATGAGTAGGACTGTGATTGGGATTTAGAACCTTGAATTACTGTTCTGAGAGACTACTGGGATCCTTCATAATTTATCATTTCACTTTGTGTTTTGAGTGAGTTTCATGAACATCAGGTGCTATTTTAGAGTTTTATCTGTTTCTCAGTGAATTTACTAAAATGACGAGCATTAAATTTTTTACAAAGCTTGTCTGAAAGGAACAGGCAGCCCATTGTCTACACACATCTCCTGCTGAAGAGCAGTTAAATAAAATAAATCATTTCTTAACAAGAGCTTAGCAGATTTAAGAGCCCGTCAGTTTCTTAAAGACATCAGCCATGGTTGGTATAGAAAGCAATTCCTGCTCTTCTTCAGATAGTGCCAAACTCTAAATTGTGCTCTCCAAAGGCCGTCAGCTCAGTAACATCAGCCTTCAGCTCTTTAGCATGTGTGGGAGTTTTATGAAAACACTTCAGTGGGTGGTTGACACACTTTTAGTATATTAGGTTTCTGCTTACTTAATAAATGAAGCTTTGCAACCAACTTAAAAAAAAATCGTGTGTTCTGGTGGAAGCTGGTCAGATTCTGATGCCCTGTCAGTGGCAATTCTATGTGAATTCAAGAAAGTGGCTGGGAGTCCACATCCCTGAATGGGCTTGGTAGTCTACTCAGCTCCAGATACTTACAGTTTTTAAGTGATTCTCTGAACCTAGCAGTATCTGTTGGAAAGTGAGTATTGTAATGGAATTGCGCGACTCTGTATCCTAATTTCCTTAATGAGCTGGCTAAAGATAGAAAGGTACAGAAATTCTTGCTCTCTGGGACCCTTGTAGAGGACCACCTGGAGGACAAAATAAATCTTTTCTCTTCAAAGTTTGGAGGATTCTCCAATGAAACATTTCAAGTGATTAACAGGTTTGGCCTGTATTTTAATTAAGCTGTCAGATGTGGCAGTACCTTGCTTACTGCTCATCTGCCCTCTGAGGCCAGAGGCTAATCAACTGTGGATTCTCCAAACACCCCTGCAGCTTTCCCCTAAAACCAGAGGTAAAAAGAAAACTATAACCTCAAAATAAAGAGGTGTCTTGTACATTTGAAGAGGGGGCATTCTGGGGAAAAAAATTAAATCCATCAAAGCAATGTGTTGGGCATTGTAAGTGGGCATGTGATGGGAATCATATCCCTGCCCTACCTACCTCACCAGTTTACTGTAAGGACTGAATGAAAAAATAGATAGGAGAGCTCTTTGCAAAACATAGAGTGCTATTTATATACACGAGTTATTGTTATAATATGACGTATCTGATAATTAGTTGGCAGTTTCCTCTTGGGTAGAAGACATCGGAAACTGTGTTCTCCACCTTCTCTCTTTTTGCTCCTTCAGGCAAGTAGTTTCTGGCTGGCCTGCCACTGTTTTCTGTAGCTATCTGTTCTTTAACTGTGTTCTCTTCTACTTTAAAGGACGTTGCAGCTCGGGGCTTAGATCTCCCTCAGGTCACATGGATTGTTCAGGTAATTTTTCAGTTCTTATGGTGTGGGCATGAAGCAGTACTATATAATCACGTATAGATCCTTCAGCCCTAAGTAAAATAATTATTATTACCCTCTTGGGTGTTGCCTGGGTAACCAGTCAGTAACCAGATTTATCAACACAGTTCTCTTGACATCTTTCCTTTACTTAGCCCACCTTTTGGCTGCAACAAAACAGACAGAATACACAATCAGGTAAGGGAGGTGGCAGGCTCTCCAGCTTCCAGGCTAATGTGTGTCAGAAACTAAAGTTTCAACAAAGATATAGTCCCTGCAATCTGAAAGCAACGTGAATTACCCAGGCCCCCGGGAGGCCTCATTGTGTCCAGAAGGAGATAGCTCAGCTATCCTGAGAGTTGTGTCCATGTACATTGACCTGCAGGGAGCAATTAAGTTCCTGACAGCATCTTACACGTACCTCTAGCTACTAGAAGCTTTGCCAGAGGGTACAGGTGTTAGCACTAGAGTGTGGTGACTTTTGTTTTGTTTTTTTTCTTTTTGTTAGACTGCAGAATGGTATTTTTAAGCCATTTCTATGTGAGGGCCAAGAGAAGTGTGCCTTGTTTATGTTAGTCATGGTTTATTCACATTTTAATAGCCTTACATGACTGTCAGTGGAAAGAACACTGACCTACTCTTCCCAGATGATCACTTTAAGACGAAATTGATTGTTTCTTTTGTCCTGGTGGCTGTATAATGTGCAGAAGATAGGGGTCAGAGCTAATTTTGACGTACAGGAAGCCAAATACGTGCAACAAATTGATCAATTCAAGGCTTCTTACGCTGTGACAATTGATTAATTTTAGATGCCTGGCCTTCCATGTATTAGAGTCAACTTGATATTCTTCTATTTGGCTTCTTGTCAAGAAAGGTTGACTCAAGGAATAAAAAGATAGAAGTAATCTACAGTTAACTCTTGATTGTTTTAGACAACGAAAAGGCTCATTGGCAGTGATAATGCAGTGCAGTGTAGCAGAGAGAGTGCTGGCTTCAGAGTCAGGTAGGCCTCAGATCAAGCCATCCCCCTCAACCCTATCCCCTCCCCTCTACACTGGCTTGTGTAACCCAGGGCAAACCACTGAACCTCCTGGTGCTCCGGACAACTCCAAAAGATGAGAAGGTGCCAGCCTGCATCAGTGGAGAGATTTTGCTCATCGGGGAGTTCCTATGTCATTGAAATCAAATCAGAGATTCAGTCCCTATGCCTAATTTAAGTCTTTGCATATAAGTCCAGTATGCTGTATTCTGTCCTGTTCTTGCCAAAGAGGCTGGGGCTTTGACACTAATCCAAGTACTCAAAAATCAGAGTATCTTGCATTTATGTGGCACTTTATGAGGGGCAGCATTGCATAGTGGATAGGCAATTGGGCAGGGCCTTAGAGTCAGGAAAACCCGTGTTCAAGGCCTACCTCTGACACATACTTACTATGTGACTCTGGGCAAGTCACAACCTCTTAGACAACAATGGAAAGCTTTAAGTTGAAGATGACTTGGTTCTCTGCATTGGCCAAAGCAGTCCTAACACTGGGAGTTGCCTAGACCTGTGAAATCATCAGTCAGGACCAAAATAAAGTACTTTAAGATTTACTAGGCACCTTCATGACAGACGTCCCTGTGATGTTCATTTGTAAAATAAGTATGCTTCCCGTTTTATAGCTGAGTAAATGGGCACAGAAGGAGGTTACATAACTTGCCTAAGGTTCTACAACTAGTAAGTAGTGGCCCCACAGTTCAAACGTGGGTCTTCTCTTCCATGTCTAGAGCTGCTTCTCATCAGTTTTATAACCTACCTGGAAAGGACACACCACAATTCTAATCTACCTTGGGAAAATGGCATCTAGACATTGAGTATATGTGTATACCTCCACAGGTATACACATAATCCACATGTCCCTTTATGGGCATTGTATTCCCTAATCAACTCCATGGGATTAGGGTACTTTTGGAGCACTCTGTTATTAGTCTTTTTCTTCCTCTGGACTGCCCAGTACCCTTTTCTGCCTCTTTGCTAAGAAAATAGGCCAAGGTCATGTGACTTGACTGGAGAAATTTACCCTTGCGCTTGTATTTTTGTCCTGGTTGACTATCTCTGTGAAAAGATGTGAATGGAAAAATGATGAGGGAGGCCTGTGGAGAAATAAAATTAAAAGGAAGATATTGGGACAAGAAGATGTCTCGTTTATCTGAAACTTGGCCAATGTCTGTGTTTGCATGTCAGAGCCCTGTTATTTCCAATGAGGCCAGAAGTTTCAGGGTTGAGTGATTTCTTCTGGTGATTGTCTTAGAGTAACCACAGCCCCAGGATTTAATTCTTGGGATACCTGGAGGCAGGTAAAGGGTATTGCACTTCCAATTAATGGCAATCCCTTGATCTGTGAATTCCCTCATTTTTGTTTCCCTTTTTAGTACAATGCTCCATCTTCACCGGCAGAATACATCCACCGGATTGGGAGAACTGCTCGGATTGGCTGCCATGGGAGCAGTCTGCTCATTTTGGCTCCTTCGGAGGCAGAATATGTCAACTCGTTGGCTTCTCACAAAATCAAGTGAGTCAGAAACCTGAACGAGGTTTCGGCTGATCTCAGCTAATTAACTTTCTGTTGCATTTTCCAGTGGATGGGCCTTGTAAGGCTGATGATGAACCATTAACCCTTGTGATCCCTAAATGAGTCCCAGAATAGCCAGTGGCAAAAACTAAAACCTGTAATATCTTCAGTATACGACAGTTTTTATTGAATTCAAGGCTAGGTGATGGAATGATCTATTGCACTTAGTTTTCCTCAAGAGACAGGTCTGCATTTACTTTCTTTTACTAGTAAAACAAGCCTCTCTTATCCCTATCAGATGCATGTCCCCATTACAGCTTGCCCCATCACCTACTCCCTATTTCTCTCTTCTAAAAAGTCCACAGAAGAACCAATGATGTTATAAATTTAAGTGGCAACATCCAATGAGATTAGGGAGCTGATCTAGGGTAATACATAGAGAATAAGCAATGCAACTCTCATTTTGGAAGTTTTCCCTTGTACCTATCTTCATTCATTCGTTCATTCATTCATTCATTCATTCATCAAGCCTGATATCATGTGCAGAGTTTTGTGCCAGGCCCTGGAGATACATAGTTTAGATAGACATGGGGCCTGTCTTCATGGAGCTCAGCATCTAATAGGGGGATTTGATGCGTGCACAGATAACTGTAATACCTGATATTATATAGGTGCCGTAGAGAGTCACAAAGGAAAATGCTGCATGAGGTCTAAGGGGGACTTCTTTACTTGGCATTTGTCTTACTGTGGTAGAGCTTTCCTGTCTCCCAGAACCAGATATCAACCTTTTCAAGACAAATTTATATTCAGCAAATACTTATTAAATGCCAGCTGTGTACAGGGCACTATGCTAGACCCTGGGGGAGAAACACAGTTTCCATGAGACACCCTCTCCTAGGAGCAGAGAGGCAACTCGAATACCCAATATTCATTTGTGGCAGATACAGTTTGTGAAGCAGTGCTTCTTTCTTTTTTTTCTTTTTTCTTTTTCTTTTTGGAGAGGCAATGGGGTTAAGTGATTTGCCCAGGGTCATACAGCTAGTAAGTGTCAAGTGTCTGAGGCCAGATTTGAACTCCGGTCCTCCTGCAAAGCAATGCTTTCTTTATGGTGTTTTATTTTTCTTCCATTTCACTAAAATTTTAAAAATATGATAAAATTACAGGATCTCAGAGTGGAAACAGACCTCCTTAGAGACCATCCAGCCCACACCTGAATAAGAATCCTTTCCATGACATAGCCAGTAAATGGTCATCTGACTTTGGCACGAAGATTTCCAGGGAGAGAGAAACTACCACATTCCCAGGCAGCCCATCACACTTTGGGATAGCATGCATTGTTAGGAAGTTTTTTCTTACTCAGGTAGAAACTTGCCTCCTCACAACTTCCACCTGTACTACTTCTAGCTCTTTCTTCTGCGTCAAAGTCGAAAAAGTCTCATCCATCTCCCCTTCAAATACTCAAGACAGTTCTTATACCCTGTTCCCTCCATCTTCTCCAGGCTGAATATCCCCAGTTCCTTCAACTAGTCCTCATATGTCAGGAGCTCAAAGCCCTTTTTCATTCTGTGGCCTTCCTGTGCACACCGTCCAGCTTAACAATGTCCTTCCTAAGACAGAGCACCCAGAGCTCAACAGAACACTATGCCTGCAGTCTGATCAGGGCAGGGGGGAGTGAAACTATTACCACCTAGTCCCAAAAGCTTTGACTGTCTTAATATAGGCTAAAATTAGCTTTCTTGGCAGTCATATTACACCATTGACTCACATTGAGTTTGCAGTCTACTAAAACAAAATTGGTTTCACTTGATTGTCTGTCTAGCCGTGCTGCCCCAAACTCATACCTGTGAAATAAATTTTTTTTTTGTTGGTGAGGCAATCAGGGTTAAGTGACTTGCCCAGGGTCACACAGCTACTGAGTGTCAAGTGTCTGAGGCCAGATTTCAACTCAGGTCCTCCTGACTCCAAGGCTGGAGTTCTATCTGGAGCCACCTAGCTGCCCCAAAATAATTTTTTTTAAACACAAATATTTACCACCAGTATTTACATTTATCCCTATTAAATTTTCTTACTAATTCAATAATTGACCAACAAACAATATTAAGGACCTATTGCTATGTACCAAGCCCTGTGCTAGTCTTTGAGGATACAGAAACAAAAGTGAAATGATCCCTACCCACAGGGCACATACAGCCTTTTGGGGGAGGTAATGTGAATGTATATAGATATATACAAAGTAGATAGAAGGTGATTTCGGTTGGGGAGAGGGCTTTGGCAGCTGGGGAACCAGAAAAGGCCTCGGGTAGAAGGTGGCGCCTGTATTGAGTCATGAAGGAGATTAAGGTTTCCAAGAGGTAGAGCTGCAGAGGGAATGTATTCCAGGCATAGGGGGACGAGCAGTGAAGGGGCACAGAAATGGCAAATAGAGTATCATGTATAAGGGAAGAGTAAGAGGGTAGTTTGAATGGATTGTAGAGTGGAAGGAGATTAATGTGTAATAAGGTTGGAAACATAGTTTAGAGTGGCTTGGTGGTGCAATGGATTGAGTGCGAGGCCTGAAATCAGTAAGACTCACCTTCTTGAGTTCAACTCTGGCATCAGACACTTAGTGGCCGTGTGACTCTGGGCAAGTCACTTAACCCTGTTTGCCTCGGTTTCCTCATCTGTAAAATGGGCTGGAGGAGAAAATGGCAAACCACTCCAGTATCTTTGCCAAGAAAACCCCGCAAGGGGTCATGCAAGGACATGACTGAAAAACTACTGAACAGGGTTGGAAAGGATAGTTTGGGGCAGGTTGTGAAGGGTTTTAAATTATAGGAGTTCATTTAATCTTATCATCAAGAGGGAGCTACTGGAGTTTATTGAGTAGGGGAGTGACATAGTTAGATCTATGCTTTAGGAAAATCATTTTGGCAGCTCTGTGGATAACGACTTGGAGTTGAGAGAGATTTGAGGCAGGGAGACCAATTAGATGACTATTGTACTAAACCAGGCATGAGATGCTGAAAGTCTGAACAAGTATGGTGGCTATGGGTAAAGAGCTATAAGGATGGATTCAAGAGGTGTTGTGGACGTAGAAATAACAAGACTGATCCATGAGCAAAGCCTTGAGGTACACCCAAACATAAGGAGAGAGATGTCTATGCTAGTCCTGCAAATGAGAGTGAGAATAATTGGCCAGATAGGTAGCAGAACAATAACAAGTCAGTGTTGTCAAAACCAAGGTGGGAAAGGATATCTACAAGGAGGACTGGGGTAATCAATACTGTCCCATGTTGCGGAGCAGTCAAGGAGAACAAGAACTAGGAAAAGGCCATTGGATTGCCCAGTCAAGAGACTTTAAAATTAGGTTTAGTCTAGTGTTCTAGACTGTCAACATCTTTTTGAATCCTAACTCTGTTGTCAAGTGTGTTAGCTATCTCTTCTGGCTTTGTCCTACCTATAGATTTGATAAGAGTGCTGTCTGTGCCTCTGTCCAAGTCATTGTTAAAGATATAAAAGGCAGAGGGCCAAGTGCACATCTGTCTGATTCTTTGTTGGAGATGTCCTTCAAAGCGGATATCAAACTGCTCAGAGCTATACTTTGAATCTAGCCATTCAGCCAGTGCTGAAGCAACCTAATTGTGTATATAATTATGCCTATCTTTTCCATAAGCGTAGCATGAGAGACTCTGTCCTTCAGACTTGCTAATTTTAGAACATTATGGTGGAAAGCCCAGATCAATGAATTTGGAATGGAAATTTTTATTGTGCACTTAATGATGTCCAAGTTACTGTCCCAGTTCTGTTTCTTATCTGTTCCTATCTGCTATTGCCACAGACTTTTGCAGAACCCTTGAGTTTCTCCTCTGCCACAGATTTAGGAATATAGAATTTAGAGATGATCTAGTCAAGCTTCCTAATTTTACAGATGACGAAACTGAGGCCCAAGTAGGTAAAGTGATTTGCCCACAGCCATACAGGTAGTAAGTAAGTAACAAGAGTCAGGATTTGAACTCAGTGGATTTGCTACCATCACACTGCTGCTTCTTATTTGTAGAGAGGTTCTGTATTTACATAGACTTTTGTTCTTCTCACCCATAAGCAAAATTTTAGTTCTCACTCTTTAGCAATTATTATGTAAGAGGCAGTTTTACTCCACGATTCCATCCTGACTGTGATCCAGACCTGCATATTCATGTTCCCTCTTCTTCCTGATCAACTTCCTTTTCCTACATATACTTCTTCCTCTGTCTCTCTGTATCTCTCCATGTGTCTCTGTCTTTCACTCTCTATGGTTTTCTTAGTCTGTCTCTCTGTCTTTCTTCTGTCTCTGTCTTCGCTGTCAAATTGTAATTGTCTGATGCCAGTGTTGGGGCCATCTATGCTTTCTACATTCCTATATTAATCCCACTTGATGTGGGTTTTTTGGAAGACAATGTGAATACAAATGGAGGGGGGAAATTTGGTAGTAAATAGTAACCTGTTCTTAAGCTGTGTCCAGTGTAAAACCAAGGAGAGTAACTCTCATCCCTGGTAATAGATTTCTTCCGAAAACAAAACAAAACAAAAACAAAAAAAACCCAACAAAATAATTCTTGGTGAAATCCTCTTTAATTTGTGGCATTTTTTAGAACAGAAAAACCTCCACATTCTGTGGTTGGTTTGGTTTGTTGAAGAAGGTGAGCGTAGGAATTTTTTTTCTCATTATAGTTCATTAAAAAAATTTTTTTTGAATTTTTATTTTTAGTTCCAAATTCTCTCCTTCCACTTTGAGAAGGCAAGAAATACCATATCCATTGTACATATGAAATCATGCAAAATATATTTCCACATTAGCCATGTTGTGACAGGAGAAAAAAGCAAGAAAAATAAAGAGAAAAACAAATAAGCAAACAAAACTATATTTGAATCTGCACTCAGAGAGCATCAGTTTTATATCTGGAGGTGGCTAGCATTTTTCATCATGATTCCTTTGGAATTGTTGTGGATCGTTGTATTGATCAGAATTGCTAAGTCTTTCACAGTTGATTATCATCACAATATTGCTTTTCCTGGGTACATCATTCTCCTGGTTCTGCTTATTTCATGTTGCATCAGCTCATGTAAGTCTTCCCAGGTTTTTCTGAAACCATCCTCTTCATCATTTCTTACAGTACAATATAGTATTCCATCATAATCATATACCGTAACTTTTTCAGCCATTTCCAGGTGATGAGCATCCCCTCAGTTTCCAATTCTTTGCCACCCCCAAAAGGAACTATTATAAATATTTTTGTACCTAAGAATGCATAGGAAATATTACAAGGATAATAGATAAATTTAGCATTTGGTCTTTAAGAGGAATATGGACAGACTAAGACATTTATCTAAAGAGACTATTCCTGTTCTAGATGTTATTGCCCTCACGAGAAACTCCAGGTACTGAGGAAAGGTTATTATGTACCTAGCATAAAAAAATAACTATTTATTAAACTTGCTGCCTCCTTTTTTGAGAGTGAGATAACGTACCTCTGTATCATTAAAAAAATGACTGTAGCTCACATTTCTGCAGCACTTTAAGGTTTACAAAGTGTTTTCCTCACAAGAACACTCTGAGATAGGTAGAGTAAGTGTAAATATCACCGTTTCACTGATGAGTAAACTGAGGCTTAGAAAAGATTGGTAGCTTACATTCACACAGCCATGTTTAAGCTAGAATTTGAACCCAGATCGTCTACTGCTTGTCCAGTGTCCTTTGTACTGCACCCCCCTGCCTTTACACATAGGTCCCTTTGATAATCAACATGAGAAATTTCAACCAAGTGAGAACTAGTTGCGTGGTCTATGATGGTGAAAGGGGACTCTTGCTTTCAGGAGTCCTGCCTGCTCCCGAGTCCATAGAAGAAGTGTGCTTATGTTTGTGTGCACACATGGGAGAGCCAGGCAGCAGGATGCTGGGATGGCTGATGAATCATGGAGAAGATTCAGAAAGGCAGGCTGAGGCTCCCAGCAGCAAGGGCCATCACAACAAATTGCCGCCTGCCTTCATAAACGGAGCATTGTGGAGCTAATCCTGACAATTTAATTTAGCATACAGGGCAAAAGACAGGTGCACTGGGCCTCTGCCTCTTCTGTCTAAATGCTGATAACTTTGCTCCTGCATCCTTTTGACTTCTTTGTATTTGCCAACTTCTTAACTTTTTTTCCTCCTCCCCTTTAAATGTGTTTCTAATGAAAGTCATCACTGATTTATTAAAATGTAAGCGCTTCATCAAAATGTGTATTCTTAGATCAGGCACCAGACAGTTCCCTGAATTTATTTATTTATCTCTTTTCATGGGAAGGTGGGGATGATCCAGATCTGTGGCTAGAACCACAAATAATCAGAGCTGATTCTCTTTGTTCCTCAGAAGAAAGGATTTCTTAGAAATAGGGAGGAGGGCCCTTTAAACTGTAAATCACTCAGGTTCATTTTCTGCTTCCACTCATCTGAAGGCATTTGGACTCCTAAAATTTGCCACATTCAAGCCAATGGTCCAGAAGTCCTTTCCTGCCCAGAAAAATTAGTGGGCCCATCACATTTAGGACAACTGTATACATCACCTGTCCGTCACTTAGTCGCAGTTTTGGAGGGTTTTGATTGCCTAACTATCCCTCCACTCCCCATCCCCCCACCCCCATCCCCTACTCCCAGCTTCTCTTCAATATTTGACTTCGCTTTCTGTTTCTATTACATTTGTATCTTTCCTCTTTCTTCTGAAGGGGGAAAAAGCCAAGAATGGAAGCAGGTGGCAGAGAACTTGGCTTCTGCTCTTTTATTTCCTCAGCATTCCAAGGATAATTGTGGAGGCAGCCTCGACAGGCTTTACATCATTTCTTCCTCATGTGAGAGTGTTCTTAGTAACTTATTTTTTAAAAATGGTTTCTCCATGAAGTTATCAACATATCACCCCTGTGTGCCCCGGATACCTTTGCCTGTTCTCACTCCCCTCTCTGACTCTTCCTGCTGTAAACTCTGTTGAGTTATGAGCTGGCAGTATGCGGGGGGAGACAGAAGAATGTGTATAGGAAGGGGTGGAGGTTGTTGAGAGAAAGAGATGACACATTTCAGGCAAATCACTTGTCAAAGACTTGACGTTTTCATTCATAGCTGTGTCACAGTAACCTTTGGGGGAAAGGGGGAGACTTGTCTTCTTTCACATAAGAGGTTGCCATTCATGTTTTAATTTGCTGTTATATTTTTTCAAAAATAAAAAAAACAACACAAAAAAATCACTTGTCTTTTTGTAATTCATTTCCCTCCCCCAGAACCCTTCTCTTATCTCTTTCTTGACGGGAAAGGAGTTTTCTCCAACTCTTTATTTCCTGCTTGGTCTATGTGTAGAGAAAGATAGGTTCGTAGGATTGAGAGCCAGAAGGGACTTTGGAGATTCTTTGGGCCAACATCATTATAAAGAGGAAGAAACTGAGGCCCACAAAGGTGAGGTGACTGACTCAGCTAATTAGCAGTAACACTATGTACTCACTATTCCTAACTTATGTATACTGAGGCTGTGACCAACCTGAAGAGTTGGATGAAATCTCAATTTTCTGGACCAGACTTTGCACTGGTTGGCAAGCCTAACTGTGCTACCCTCATTTCTGAAGTAGAGCCCAGCAAAACAGCTTTTTTTTTTCCCTGATAAGGTTCATTTTAGCTATTTGCCCACAAGTCCTGCCATCTTTTCAATTATGCACAAGGACTGATGAGATAGTGTGACTTTTGGTCTGCCTAATAATTGAAAGGACAGGAGCACTGACCATATTACATGACAGAATAAGAACATTTTATGTAGTTTTATAAGGGTAGAGGCTTTGACAGTCTTGCAGCCTCAAGTTTGGTGCTTTCCTCAATAATTATCTTTTCCAGGATATCAACATGATAATAGACAAGCTGTATTAAACTACTTCATTCCTATGTTCCCAGTGAAATGCAACCACTTTTGGAGAACGGGGAGACTTGAAAGCTCTCTGTCATTTCTCTCTGGTCCCACTACCTTCCACCTAAGCCAATGTGGGACCAGTAAATATTTATTTCATGTCAGAGAGTTGTTAGGAAATAATGAAATCATCCCTAAAGCTCAAATGCTAACTGTTTTAGGGTTTAGATTAGCTGAGGAGGCGTGGTGTTTTCCTGTAATTCTGCCTTGGATCTCAAACCACATATTAACACAGTGGTCCTTCTCCCTTTGGGATTCATGAAGGTTTAGCAAAATATCCACTTTTCTCTTTTCTTGACTTTGATTACCTTGAATAGGCCATTTTTATGCCATAAGCTGTCTTTTGGAAAGAAAGAAAATTCAGTCTGAGATATCTTTCTTGTTTCAGTGTATCTGAAATAAAGATGGAGGATATTTTATCTATTTTGGCAATGGATGATCGTTTTAAAGGAAGACGATGGGGGAACAAGGTGAGTTTTCTTGTTGAGATTTGTTAATATATTTATTGCTAGCGAATATGACCTGTTTCTTGATTTGGGATAATGTTAAGGGTTAGCAATTGCCTGTATTAAGTTAAACCTGTATTCTAAGAGCCATGCAAATTAGATGGGACCAGATTAGAAGGAGCATTGATTTTCTCCCCTCCTCACCACCCCCTCTTTGGTTCTGGACATGTTTGCTGGTCTCATCCAGTTAATGGGCTACAGTCCATACTGGAAGCATGCCATACAACAGCAGGCAGAGTTACCAGAAAGGAGGTCCAGGCCAGAATGAATTTGGAGGCAGAAGTATATGCTCAACCCTGGTGGTCCCTCTCCAGATTATCAGCAAGGACAACTGACTCCAGTCCTTCATCCAAGACAGCAGGAAAAAAAAAATATCTCCATGTCTCCTTTCAGACCCACTCATTTCATCCATTTTTTAATGTGTGTGTACTATACACAGAGGAAGAGTAAAGTTGCATTCATTAAGAAGAAAAATCTTTATTATCCATGCAGCTCCATATGGAAGTACTGAGCAGTTGTAGACAGCTCTGAGCATCCTTGTCTCCTCTTTCTATCAGGCTTTTCACCCTGCTGGGCAATAATTTCCACACCAAACCCCTATACTCTTCAATATGGTATGTACGCACCTATGCGTAAACACATTGAGATGCTATCTGTAGTTTTGTCCATGAAATATTAATTATTTGAATTTTAGTACGCAGGTTTAAATATTTTACGTTTGTTTCCTTATGCCTGGGGATAGACTAGAAAATCAGAGCCAGGTAGATCAAGCTTAAAAATCCTTTTATTCTTCCCCATCTTTATTTGGATCTGTCTGAGGTACTGGAGGGCTGACTGATCCTGTTGTAAGTTCTCTTGTTAAAAAGGGCAGTTGAGAAATTGTCTCCAATATATGAAGAATTAAAAACCAACTACCAACCAAGTCAACCTTCCCTGTTTGTTCCTAGAGAGCTGGAGCTCTCTAAACATTAACACAGAATTAACTTCCTTTTAGATTTCAAAAAAGAAAAGATTTAATTCTATGGAGCTAAAACCTCTCAAAAACAAATATTGTTGCACCAAAAATCTCTATAGAACAAATTCATATTTATATAGCGCTTTGAGATTTGCCTGGAAGGCACTTTCTCACAGCCCTGTGAGGCAGGTGGAGTCGGGAAGATTATTGACCCTTGTTAACAGATGAAGAAACTGCGGCTTTAAAGGTCAGGTAACTTGCTGATGATCACGTGTCTGAAGCAGCACTAAAACTGTCTTAGATAAGCCCTACTGATCCTCCCTTTTTTTCAAACCATGCTTCTTTGTTGTTTGTTTGTTTTTTAATTCCAGCACAATAAAGACACTGGGATAATGCCACATAGTTGGCTGTATCACATACACACACACACACACACACACACACACACACACACACACACACAGCTATTGCATTTAACCTGTATACAGCCATAGGTCTTTGTACAACTTCTAGCTTTGAAAACTGAGCCTGTTTTAAGTTGGTGGGCAGGGGATAGTGGGCAGTAGGGGAGGGGCATTGGTCTACTCTAAACCTATGATTTCATCAGTGTGGAGATCTGCAATCTATAGTCTTAGAGAATTGCCTAGGACCTTAAAGGTTAAGTGACTTGTCCAGGGGCACACAGCCAGAATGTGACAATGGCCAGACTTTAGCCCAGGTTTTCCTAGCTCTCTATCCACGATGTCATGCTGCCTCTGAAGTTTTAAATCTACATCCCAGTCCTAGTAGTTCTCATACAAGTGCTGGAAGGTGTGCATAGCACTTTCCTCACAACAGTCTTTTGAGTTCGGTTAGTACATGGGTTGGTTTGGTTTTTTTAACCCCATTTTACAGATGAGGAAGCTGGATCAGTGGTCACGCAGTAACCACAGGAACCTAGAAGCCCTTGAAAGCACATACATTCTTCTCCATCCAGTAAGAGAGGTCATCTGTGAGACACTCTTAGATCTTTCCCTGAGGAAAGTTCATATGCCTGATCTAAAATGGTTTTAATGATAATAATAATTATGCATATGTAGAGTCTTAAAAATTTTAAAGTACTTTTATAGAAATGCTCTTAGTCAAGCCTCACAAGAACTATAGAATATAGTGAGAGCAAAGATTGTTATGCCCATTTTTCATATTTGTAAACTGAAGCTCAGAGGTGCAATAACTTCCTCAAAGAAACCAAGCTAGTTTGTATCAGAACTGGGAAGCCCTCTGATCCCATTCTGGTGTTTATTCCACTGAACCTGAGTTAACAGTACTTTAGCAGTTTAAGGATCTAGCTCACTGGTATGGGTACTTCCTCCCAAAGACAGTTCAACCCCTTCATAGCTCAGAAGACAGCTTTTGAGAGTTACTGTGGCCAGAAAATCCATCCCCTGTGGTGAAGCTGCTGATGAGTTCCTCTGAATATAGAACTGGGCTGACCCTCCCACTACAGACTTGCCATCCTTCACCAGGTCTGTACTTGAAACCAACCTGCCAGAGCCTGTGCTCCATTGCCTTAGCCTTTGAGAACTCGGGGGCATCACCACACCATGAAGAAGCATTGAGGGAGGGCTTTAGTGATCATGATACATTTTATTTTGTCTAAACCTGTGAGTTCAATGGTGGGAGGTAATTCCCAGCATGGAAACTCCCTCCCCAAAGCAGGTAGACCATCCATCCAGGGGGATGGAGAGGTAGTGACTCACCAGGACTTAACCCTATTTTCCTCTTGACTCCAAGGCCAGCTGTCCAGCTACCCTACCATGTAGCCTTTATGATGATGATAATAATGAGGATGGTAACTATGCCTTGCCATTTTTTGTTTTTTTTACCTGTTAAGAGGATCGTCACACATCTCATTTTAGCTTTATGACACTTTGTGAGGTCTGCTCTATTCCTTCCAAAGGATTAGTATTCTCATTTCATAGATGAGGAAACTAAAGCCATGTGAAACCTTAGACAGTTGATTTAGTCATAGGAGTAGGATTAGAATGTGGGTTCAATGCCTGGAGGCAGCTGGGAGGTGTAGTGGATAGAGCACAGGGCCTGGGGTCAGGAAGACCTGAGTTCAAATCTAACCCCAGACTCTTAGCCTATGTCCTCAATTGTAAATTGGGGATAATAATAGCACCTACCTTGAAGGGTCGTTGTAAGAATCCAGTGAGATAATATTTGTAGAAAGATCTTAGAAGAAATCCTGGCACATAATAGGCATTATATAAATGCTTATTCCCTTCCTCCCACTTTTTTTCATCAGACTGCCCCCAGAAGGAACACAAACATTTATCTAACTCTCTGGAAACTGAAAAGAGCTTGACCTAAAAAAAATTTTTTTTGACCCAAACTTCAGAGGTTATTGGAGATTGAGGTCAAATCAGATAGGTATAGAGTACCGGCCCTGAAATCAGGAGGACCTGAGTTCAAATGTGGCCTCAGACCAAACACTTGACACTTATTAGCTGTGTGACCCTGGGCAAGTCACTTAACCCCAATTGCCTAACAACAAAAAACAAACAAACAAAAAAAAATAAGATAGGTATAGCAAGCTCAGTGCACTTGGACGACAGGTCTGTAGATCAAAGGCTACAGTATTACCCCCTCTTTATGTAGAAGAAGAAACTGAGGCACAAGAACAGCCACACAGGAAGGAAGTGTGAGAAGTAGTATTTGAACCCAAGTCCTCTTGACTCTAGAGTCAGTCCTCAAACTAGCTTCCTAGTGTGGGTAGTCTGTATTCTGCTACTGGCCGCCAAACAGTTCTTTCTGGGAAGGATGTCACCATTCTTTGTACCTTTCTTCTAACTGGTCATGGTAGAAGGAAGAAAATTAAATTTATCCTGATAAAGGTTTCCTTTTCTCCTCAAAGTGAAAGATGGCACCTGCATTTCTCTTTGTAGTTTGTGGAACCTGAAAAAGTAACTTTCTTGGCCTCTGTCCTTCAGAAGTGTCCAAGATATATTTTTTTTCTCACCTTGATTTGAGAAGCAATCAGGAAGACTTCCTAGGAGTTAGAGGATTTATTGTACCTCATTAAGGTTCTTGGTATTTTTTGTTTAAAAAAAAATTGATGGAAACTGTACCCAAATGACTCCAAATTAGTGGCATCACTGAATAAAATTCATTGTATCAGGTATTAGATGTCATGTAAACAAAAATTCCAAGTTAACTTTTTTGAAATCCCTGATAAATATGCATTTTTTAAAAAATTTAATCTATTTAATCAAAATAGTCAAGTTGATCTCTGTTGACTCAAGCTAAAATAATCCTGACCCAGGTGAATAGTGAGAAAAATGGAATAGGTACCATATGCAACTTCTAATCCTACTTTATGTGAAGAACCTAGTACATACAACTTAACTTGCTTCCCATAATTTACATGATCTCCTCTGTCTTACGATGAACTATGCAGATGCATGTGGGTACAATCACTATGTATTTTACACAGACATACAGAAACCTCATTATAATGCAGCTCTTCTTCACCTAGCTCGATTGAAGTCCATTATAAGTATCCCTTCGGCACACACCTTTTTGGGCTTCTGTGAGAAGTAAGAAAGTGGTGAAGCACCTGTAAAATGTATATTTCATATTTAGGTATATAAAATATATATGGCTAACGTCTGGGTGTGTGAATGTTCACCCACCTACAAAGAGAATAAATCTGATCTTTCAACTTTACTGGGAAACACTCAGAAGGTTCTAGGGACCTTGGGGGGGAAAATCAGCCTAGCAATATGGTGATTAAAGCAAAATCCTTCCATTTTGTTTAAAACCATCTTGGAAGCTGGAAATATTAGGGCATGGTGTTTGAAAAACAAACCAAAACAAAACCCACCACCACAAATTTATTACCCCCCCAAAAAAATTGTTTGGTCTGCTGCTCTTGATCTTTCTCTCAATCTAATGGGCTGTGAAATTTCTATCCTTATAAAAATAAGCCCCAAATTGTCTTTGCTACAGTTTCTTGTTGCTGTGAAATAAGTCTTGAAACTTAGCCTAACTTGAGTTTTTCCTTTGGCATTGTAAAATATTAAAATCAGATCACTAACCTCTTGCTCTCTCCTGTTTGATCTGTGTCTACCCTCCCCAAGATCACTGGGGCTTTCCAAACAGAAAGTATGGCTTGCTCAAAGAACTGTAGCGATTTTTCCACCTTAACAACCATTGTCCTCCACTCCATTGGTTGCAAGTTAGCTTCATTAACCAATACTGAATCTCTGTGCCTTTGAGGGTGGGGGAACCAATCCTATGGGGTATTCATATGCCTTCAGGGGTTTGACCCATTCTCATTAAGGGAGCATTTTACCTGTCTGGGGTTTGAGATTATGCAGCATAGCTCTGGCCCCCTCCATTTTCAGTTTAAATTTAGACTGTCCTCCGCAGAAGACAACTCAAAAATGCCTCATTCGTTATCAGGAGGGGCAATTTTAAAATAAAGTATTTCTGGAAGGGGGGTAAGTGGGGATGAGAGAAGGAAAGAAAAGCTTTTCCATAAGCACATTTTATTTTCTGCCATTAATTTTCTTTTGTTTTCCTCAAATTGACCTTACCATTTCAAAACCATGAACCTAGTTTCATCTCTTATTTTCTACGTATTTCACACATACACATACTCATCTATCTATATGTATATACATATACACACATGTATACACACATATATAAACACACATATATATAGTATATACACACATGCACACATATTATATATATACATATATATATGTGTGTGTGTGTGTGTGTGTATATATATATATATATATATATATATATTTTTTGGCTAGGAAGAAAAGATGCCTCATTTTGAAACCTAAAGGGGGGAATAAGAAAAGCCCTTTGTAATATATTGCCATATTATCACTAAATCCCCTGACAGTTGTGACACAGAAGCAAGTCACCTGTCACTTAAGCTTGAGGTCTCTTTAATTTTCTCCTGGAATTCGCACCAGGCTGTCTTTAATTTGAGGCCTTTATTGGAATTCTGAAACCTTTCTGCCTCCCTGGCTCTCAGATCTATTCTGAGTGCTGTTACAGAATGTATACAATAACCAACAGAGGGATTCGGAGAGGGCTGAAGCTCTGTTTATTTAACACTCTAGAGGGATTTTTGTGCTTATTCGGTCCTGGCTGCCCGGCTTTCAATATCGCTTTGACAACCGTTCTGCCCTTCTCATTAATTTTAAACAGTTAAAACACAGGAAAAAGAGGAAAAAGTTTTCATTATTAAAGTGCTTTACTTTTTAATAACAGAGGATTCTGTCCGCCAGGGGAAAGGGCATCTTCGCTAATTTCACATTCATATTAAAAAACGCTGGGAAGGTGACAGTTGTGCTGCCGGGATGGCTTAACAAAAAGAGGAGGGGGGAGGGAGTTTGCATTTCACATCAGTTAAGGGGGTAAAAAAAAAATCCTTGTTAATGACAATAGCAAATGTCCACTTTCGTAACACAGTTCCTGCTGACTTTTCTCTTGACATTTTATCATAGAAAACCCTTAGGGGGACCATGTACCGTGAAATCAGCTACACTGTCATCAGCTAAACAGGTGGCAAGGGATGATTTGACTAAACTAAAAACATTTTCAGATTGTTAAGTCTCTATTAAGTACAGAGAGATGCATCGATCAGAAGAATCAAGACTTTTCTTTTATTCCCCCTGTTCTTCCTCTGGCTGTCTTAAGAGTAGAAGGGAATTTGCCTGAGTGTGGTCTTGAGAGCAACCAGCCAAACACGGAGACTTGGGCCAGTGCTTCCCTAAGTTTACAAGTGCCAGTGAATGATACCCCACTCTGGATTTATCTTGTGCACCACACAGAGGGCTGAGGGCTTGGTACCAATTTCTGTTTCTATGAGCCACATTCTACTGGCCTCTCTCCCTTTTGTCCTCACTAAAAGGCATTTCTATTTGATTTGGAAAAGATCTGGAAATGAAACCATCGTTCCCAGGCTGAGGTTATAAAGGAAGGGTACTTCTTCACATGGAAGGTTCAAGGATGAGAATGATAAATTTCAGGTCTGTGAAGTTTTGTTGATGTCATACCACTTCAATGTTATTTCTTATTTGCCACAGAGCTCTTTGAAAGGTCCACTAGCCTTCCTTTAGACCAAATTTTCTGTAGCAACTCAGGACCCTTCACTGCAAACCACAGAGTAACAAGTGTGAGTGGCACAGGGAATTACAGAAACTTGCTATGAACTTACCTCTCCTAAAAGTAACTTATGAAGCCAAATTATAGACTGACCATTATGAAAGACTTTGCCCCAGAGAAACTGCCAGAGGTCTCATTGATAGTTGGAGAGGGGAGAGAAACATAAGACGGAAAGGTACAAAATGCAAGACTGACTTGAAAACACAATTTATTTTCAGTGACACTTTTAAACATCCAAACTGGACCTAGTAAATCCCAAAGTATCACTGATGATCTTTCATTCAGAATGTGAGTGATAAGGGGTCAGACACACAAAAAATTAAAACCGATTTGCTCTCTGCACAAAGCCATCCTCATCTTTGCTTGACTTTAACGTCTTTATATTCCCTTTTTTTTTTCCTCACTAGTAATATTGAAGGGATTACCCCTTTTGGCCCCTAGGTGGTTACTGTGTGATTTTACTGTTATTAAATCTATTATAAACTGCTTCATTATTCCTGACTCTGATTCTGTCTTTCCTTTAATCCTTCCGCCACCCTCCCAGAAATCCCGCAGTGTTGGCCCCCAGGAAATCCGAGAGCGGGCCACTGTCTTGCAGACAGCATTTGAAGATTACGTGCATGCCAGTGCGGAGAGGGTCTCCTGGGCAAAGAAAGGTCAGTGGATTTCTTAGGCGATTACTGAATGGATAGGTCAGCAGAGCTCCCACTATACCCCCCATTGAGGTGGGGGGGGTAAGGGGCGGGAGGTGGGTAAGAGGCCAACCAAGGGTCTCTGCTCACTAGTGAAAGCCTTCAAGCCCAATAACTCTACTGGGTTTGGAAACAGACGCAGGAGGCTTTAAAATGATATTAAATGTTAATTCATCCTTTCACATGTTTTGCACAAATGAGGATTTATCTTGGCTTACATTAGAAATAGAGCTGTGACCCAATGACTTGGATCTTAAGGTTAAGTTTTTTCCCCTTTATATACCTGTTTTTTGAAAAGATATGACAAAAGGAACAATTATAGGAGAGAGAAAAGTTATGTCTACCTTTCCAAGAGCAATGGGTAGAAATGTTGGATCTAGGTAACTTTAAAGTGGAAACACTTTAAAAGTTTGAGGGAAATGGGAACAATACCAACAAGGTCCTACTGGGAAGACCAAAGGCTCTCTCTTGGAAGTTTTATGCAGGGTGGGGCATCATTTCAATATGCAGACCCTTGATAGACTGTTCAGAGGAGACAGCTAGGCAATGTATAGCGTACTGGGTCTGCGGTCAGGAAAACTTGAGCTGAAATATGGCCTCAGACACTTAACTAGCTGTGTGGGAAAGTCACATAACCTCTGTTTGCCTCAGTTTCCTCAACTATTAAATGAAGATAATAATAACACTTACCTCACACGATTATCATGGGGATCAAATGAGACAATATGTGTAAAGCACTCAGCATTATTATTTATTATGATGACTGCTGAGATCACTCAGTTTCCAGTTTGGCCTTTTATGTTGTCTCTGAGCAAGAGCATAAAATGTGGTCAAGAAATCGAAACTCTGTCTTTGTCATCGAATCTCTCTGTTTGTCACCCAATGGTGGCATGGCATGTACTGATGACATTTGTTCTGTGGGGCCTGATTCAAAACCCTTCTGGTTCATAGATTCCTACGCCTAAGAGCTGAAAGGGCTTTTTAGATCATAGTCGGTTGCCAACAGATGAGGTCTGTTGAGAGCCAACAGATCCATCTAGATGAAAAGTATGTCAACAGAGAGCCAAGGGATGAACCATGACAATGTCTTTCTGATATCTTCCAGACGTCGGGCATGTCACTTCATCTCTCAGACCCTCAGTTTCTTCCTCTGTAAAATTAGGACATGAGGCCAAATGAAATCTAAATTCTGTGCTCTCTGTCGTATCCCACTGCGGTCACTCATTTGCAGATGGGAATGCTGCAGAGCACTGGGAAGCTCCCCAAGAGCTTTCCTCTCAACAGTCCAGCGAGGAAGGTGGTGCAAGTACACTATTGTTTGAGCCCCAGTGTTTCCCACCTCCAAGTCCAGTGCTCCTGGCGCTGCATCCCACAGCCACTGCCAAGCTGTTGTGCCTCTTAGCATTCTCTTCAGCTGAACTGAACAGCTTTGGGGTCCCTCATGCTCTGCCTTCAGATGGGTGGTTGATTCTTTTCTCAAGGCAATAGAATCTCTTTCTTGAATAGACTATTCATTATGTAACTTTGTAGGAGGTTGGTTTGATGATGCATGTTCGTTTGATATAAGATGGGCCATTTTGCAGTAAATAACTGGGTCCGTGCTACTACTATAATAATGAAAGTGCTACAAAAACAAAGTAACTTATTCCATATTCTTGCATTTTGGCATTGGTTATACGTGGAGTAGGTGTTCCACCAGAACTGCTACCTTTCTTTTCCTTCAAAGCTTAGTTTAGAGGCCATCTCCCAAATGGAAACTTCCCTTATGTGCCCCTCGATGAAAATGACCTCTCCTCCTAAGATTGGCCAGGATATTTTGTCTTTCTCTCACCTTTTCTCCTAGCCCATTATATTTTGCATTGTGTTTATTTGGAGCTGGGAGCACTTTGGAACTGATAGGGCAAAAGGAGGCACAGGTGTGTCATCATGGAAGATTTTCTTGCTACAGGGGGTGGCTGCAAATGGAAGCCAGTGTCTGCAGCATCAGGAAATGTTCTTATGACTATAGTGTGGGAGGAGAAACAGGGGTCGTGGGGAGATTGTGTTCTGGGTGTGGCCATGAGAGGGTCAGTGTGAGCAAGTATGCTAATGCCTGGGATTGAATATGGGGAGTAGGTAGGACTGTTCTGCTTTAGCAGTGAGATTCATTTTAGTGGGTGTGGTGTATGTTTGGGGTGGATTGGAAGTGACTAGGTGTGATTGTGCCCTTATCAATAAAGGTGAAAGCAAGTGTGTGGGATTGGGGGACCCTTAATGCTACAGAACCTGTCGTGGAGCTCTTTGCTCATAAAGTGCATTGGTCTAGGGCTGTGACCTGGTTGCTGCTCTCCCAACACCCAGCACACACTGGGACAGGGTGAGTGATGTTTAAAGGATGTGAGATCAGATATGAGACAGTATCTAAGTCATGTGCTTTCTAGGCACCTTGTAGTTTCTGTTTTAGATGGGGTATGCTGGGAGGTAGGAAGGATACTAGGTGACCTAGGGCACTAAGGATGAAGCCCCTTATGAGTTTAATAAGCCAGGTTTGAGGACAAGAACTAGGGTTTGGTTTTCATTTTTGTATCTCTCACCCCAAGCAAAATGTGTTGCACAGGTCATGGTAGGCACTGCATAAATATGTGTTGAATTGGAGTGAAAGCTGTGGCAAATGAAACTTCAACCCCAATTCTAATAGAGAATGGGATATGAAACACTCTGTTTTGGAGTTTCTCCTCTTCTTCATAATCATTAAACTCAAAAGCATAAATAAATTGCAGATAATTTTTGTCTTATTTTGAGAACGAAAGAGCCACATTCCAAAGTGTCGATTTGTGTTAGAGCAGAATAGTAAATATTCAATTATTTGCTGATTGATCAACACACCAGGCTTCTAATAATCTGTGCCCAAAAAGCCCCCTTTGGTGGATCTCAGTCTATCAAATTGCATACCCCTTTAAACATGCAGAAACCTAGAAGCATCTATAGTCGGCTCTTTCAGGTCTGTGAATTGATGTTTTGGGAGAACATACATACCTTTTGCACCCAAAGGGTATTGTATTCATGACATAACCACCACCATCAAAGGGACTGAAAATATGATCCTTTCTCTTGAATTGAAATCTGCATATGCAAATTTCCCTGCTGACTTGCTTCCATAAACTCCCTTCTTAGTCATGAATAATTAACAAAGCAGCTGGCTTTTGCCTTCATGGCAGAAAATCGAATGGAGATTGTGCCAGAGATGCATTTGTTTTCCTTTTGCATTTTTTGACCCAGTCAGTGTTAATAACCAACATTTAATTGCAGTCACTTTCCAGGAAGTTGCCCCCTTCTTCCCACTTCCCACAGCACCTTTGCATTGAGCTGAGAAGAGACCAAGGAGGTCAAACCTGTGGGTTCTGGAGAACATTTTTCCCCAGGGAAAATTTTTAGAAAATGTTGCTTTTTGTTCTCAGCAAAACGTTCCAGTGAGTTGGGGGCCCTCGCTTTTTTGTTCAGGCAAATGCTTATCCCCTCTTAGCCAAATGTCCTAGAGAGCAGTAGGATAGAGTAAGTGTGGCATTTATTTTCTTTTACCCCTTTTTCTCTGTAAATATATTATTCACTCAAATTATCCTCCTATTGTGGTATGAGGATGGCCCTTCCACCTGGAAGCAGCAAGAGTGTTCTCAGCAGCGGTGCCAGTAAAGGATGAATTTTCCCCATCCCCACTGGCCCCAGAGAGGCTGTGCTGTCCTAGTACCACTCTCTGCCTTCTGAGCTGGTCACCACCACAAGTCTGGCCACCAGATGAGAAGGTTTTTGAGCCACATCAGCTCTTGAAGATGGTCTGCCAGGGCATGGAGAGTCTATAATCTCCCTTGGCAACAGAGAGTACCCAGGTCATTAGAATCAAAGATCCTGGAATCACAAGTCTTTAAGGTACCATTATTCCTGGTTTCAAATAATATCAGTAATAGCAAATTTGCACAACACTTTTAGGTTTAGAAAATGCTTTCCTTACAATAAGCGCTGTGAAGTTGGTAGTGCTGATAGTTTCCCAGTTTTACATAGGAGAAGACTGAAACTCAGAAGGGCTATAACTTTCTGGAGTGTAAGCTAGTAAGGATCAGAGCAGGCATTTGCCCCCCTCACCTGACTCCAAGTCAACACTTTCAGTTACACCACCAAAAGGTGGCTTCTTCACCAAAAGGAGCGTTTGTGAGACCAGGATGTAAGGAAGGCTGTTATCAAACAGAAAAAAAAAATACACAAGGGAAGAATTTTTTAAAGGCTTTTTTCCCCCCCAGATTATTTGCCCCAAAAGGTGACTATGAGGAATCAGGGCCTGCTTTTTGCCCAGCCTTCTCCCCAGCCCGAATTCTCCAAAATAACAGTTTTTCAATATTTCTGTTCCTCTACTTTCCTCTTGTGTTTGCCCTCCAGGCCCCAGTCCTTCTGCATATCACAGTCACTGCCAAAGTGAACCATTTCCTGACCCTTGGAAGGTCATGCAAACATCTGCCGCTGCCTCTGAAGCTCATGCCCCTCCAAATTAGCTAAACATGGGTGTCCATGCAAGTATGTGAGGATGACCAACTGTCGCTGTCCCCAGTGGAACAGGAGCCTTGAGAACAAGGAGTTTCCATAGTAAAAATATGCAGTGTGAAATGCTGTCTGACCAGCTGTCTAGGGGGAAAACACTTTCTGCCATTTCCTGGCAAACTCATTATCCCTGCAAAGCTGTGAGTTGGGCACTTGACTCTCCTGGGACCAAGGCTCTCAATCTCAAGCTATTTTGATTAGAGGTAAAGAAGGGAGAAGAATAAGTGTATCAACATTAGTGGAAGTCAAATAACTAATGCTTTTCTCAAGAAGCCAGATGTCAATGTATCTTTTGTGGGGGCCACGAATACACTCAATTGTATGCAGACCTGAGGCAAGAGTATAGAAAATTTGGAGTAACAGACAAAAAGAAAATGCCTTTTTGCCTAAAGTGGGTCAAAACAAGGGTTGTTTTGTTTTGTTTTGTTTTGACCTATATTACCTGAATAAAATTGGTTTTATCACATTGGCCTCCTGGAAGGGAGGCTGCATGATATGATGGAAGTAGATTAGGACTGGCTGTGAGTGGGTCTAGGTCTAGAGCTGGGACCAGCTCTGCCATTTAGCCAGCTGTTGTGACTATGACATGAGCCACAAAATTAGAGAATTGGATTATTGATCACTAAAGTCCTTTCTAGCCCTAATGATCTATTATTATTTTATGGTTTTAACATGTGGCTACGTATCCAAGGTCCTAGTAATACTGGGTACTGTCCCCCATATGTATAACCCTCTGAGTGGATAGACCATTTGAAATTAATTAAAGATTTTCTTTCAAAATGGTAGTCCCCAGTTATTAAAAAAAAAAGGCAGTGACACAGAATTGAGAGGGGGGTACAGAAGAGTTGCCTTGGTTATGTCTCATCGATTGGGAAAAGGAGTTCACTTTACTCAGTAAATAGAGCTTTGATGGATTCCCAGGATTCTTCCCAGAGCTGATCTGCTAAAATGACACTTTTTATTACTGTTCATAAATGCCAATCTCCTGATGCTGCTGGGAGATTACATTTAAGCTGCGGGCAAACTTGCTGGTCCAGTGGCTCAACAAGCCAGGGCAAGAGAGGTTAGTGTTTAGTGTTTCTTTCCATCTGAGATTGCAGGGATAGGCAGTGGTTGGCAGGAAGAGTAGGGATTGGTGGCAGAAGTGAATAGGTATGGATGTGGGAATTGTCTCTTACCAGAGAGCTACTTTCCAGAACAATTCCCTCCTTCCCTCTTGTAGTTGAGACTAGGGCAGACATTTAATCTTAACTATTATTGCTAGGTAGGAAGAGAGAAACACCTAGTGATCAGGAGCAAGGCTTGAGTTTCTTAGGTTCCATGTCCAGTTTTGTTTCTGGCTTACCATGTGATCTGGAACAAGGACCTCATTTTTCCTGTCTTTAAAGGTACTAAAAATATGTTCCTGGTGCAGCTTCCTTCTTGACAGGATGTTGGATTAACAGCCATAAGGCATTCCTCAGGGAATGTGGCCTGACCCAGACTCTTTTAGTTACATAGGGTGTTGTCTCTTTCCTTTCTCCCTTCTTTTTGTCCTGAACTCAGTAGTCAATAGTGTTGAAAAACCCAGTGAGAAAAAGAGACCAGTTTGATCATGTACACTTTATATAGGGTGGGGGTGGGGGGTTTCTTTCCCATTGTCTTGGTTACCACAGGTGGTTTTTCAGTGGATTCTCAAAAGTTCTGTGCTTATTTCAAGAGATATCTCTTACTCTGCAAATACTTGTAGTACATGTTGGTTGTAACTGTTCATTCACATCAGGACTCCAGTCTTATTTGGGGATTGGCAAAAATAAAAAAGTGTTAACTTTTGTTTAAATAAATAATGGTTCAGAAATATGAACCTTTTTTTCCCCCCTTTTTCTCAGCTCTGCAGTCTTTCATCCGCGCCTATGCAACGTACCCCAAGGACTTGAAGCACATTTTTCATGTCCGGTCCCTCCATCTCGGTCATGTGGCCCAAGAGCTTTGGGCTAAGAGATGCCCCCCAGAATCTGAGTGCCTCTTCAGGAAACAAAAAGAAGTCAAAGCTGAAAAGGTAAGATGAACTGTGTTTCCTTTCTCCCTACCAAATGTAAAAATAAGCACAGAAAAATATGAATGCCCACCCAGAGATGAGTGTAAATATGTTGTTCTTTCTGGTAAAAGTATAAGAATCACGGTCTGCATTCCTCCCAACATTGAAGCCTTCCATCTTTTATTCTGGAGGTCCAGTGACTATAATAGGTCTCTGCTGCAGAACTAAAAATGACTAGTCTCAGCTCTTCAAGTGTTCTTCAGAAACTGAGACTTATTGGGTCTCAGTGACCACTGCAACAGGATTTTGATGATCAAATTTGCTCTCAGCCTTCAAATAGACAGGAGCCTGCCTAATCTGATCATTGTCCCTCCCTGTTGCATTTGCTATTGTCGCTGTTTTGGCTTCATACTATCTATGTTATAGGCCACATATAGTGGCTACATAGTTTTTACATTTAAAATCTGCCCCCACTTTTGTTTGTTTTCAGAGTAATGAGCACTAATTAAAGCCGGATTAAAATCCTATCCTATTATGACCACATTAACTTCCTTTTTTGTTTGCTTTTGAAAACTAAGTAGTTTTTTAAACTTTACTTTCAAAAATAGATTTGTTGATAGCTTTTATTTTTTATATCATATACATTTCCCCACATATATTTTGCCCTATAATCATCCAGAGAGCCATACCTTGTAACAAAAATTTTTTTAAAAGTAAGAAAAAAAATCCAATCAAAAAGTCTACATTATATGTAGTGTTCTGTATCAGTGGACCCCTCCCTCTGCAAAAGTGCATGGAGGGGAGATGTCTTCTTAAATCTCTTCTTTAGGACTAAGCTTGGTCATTATGTTTTTTGTAACATTCAGTTTTTTCATTATTGTTCTTTGCATTTTCATAGTTGTGATTATTGTGTATGTTGTTTTCATGACTGCTTATTTCAGTTTGCATAGTCATGTAGATCTTTCCATGATTCTTTGTATTGAGCATATTCATCATTTCTTCCAGCAGGGTAACATTCCATTTATTCATAGACCACAATTTGTTTAGCCATTCCCCAGTTATCTCCTTTGTTTTCAGATCTTTGCTACCATGAAAAATGCTGCTATAAATATTCTGACAAAGGTGGCACCTTTCTTTTTGTCTTTGACCTTCTTGGGGCCTATGCCTAGTAGTACCACAGTAACATAGGAGGGTTTACAGCAGTTATTTGTTTGTTGCCTAGTAGACAGCTCAGTTATATTATCAAGTGAGATAATATTTGTAAAGTTTTTTGCACAGTGCTTGACACGTCATGGCTGCTTAATAAATAAATGCTTGTTCCCTTCCCCTTTGCCTTCCCTTCTGTGTCTTATGCAGCACGTTTCAAATGTTGGTGCTGGATTGTTAAGTGTTACTGGTATGGAGACATAAACGACCTCCAATTAGACCCAACTTATTTAAAGAGCCCGAATGGATGCCAAGGAAAGGGGTTGTGTATGACTGGGGCAGTTATGTTTGGGTAATGAACTTTTGCCCTGACTTATCCATAGAAAGGGAATAAGCATTTATATAGGACCTACTATGTGCCAGGCACTCAGTGAAACTTTTTTTTTAATAAATACCTCATTTGATCCTTACAACAACCCTGCAAAGCAGGTGCTATTATTAGCCCCATTTTACAGATGAGGAAACTGAAGCAGGTGAAAGTTAAGTGACTTGCCCAGGATCACACCAGTTAGAGAGTGTCTGAGGTTGGATGTGATCTTCTTCTTCTTCACTCCAGGCTCAGTGCTCCCTGTACCGTGAACTGCTATAGAAAGCTCTGGTTTCCATGGCCCTGAGATACATCTGCACTGACATAATCAAGCAATCCACTTCCTAGGAAATGAGAGCTTAGGCGTAAGGGAGTCCTTAGGTATCAGAAAAGCACTGACCAAGAAGCTGGCCTTTCTAGACTTGGAGACTTTGCTTTGTTTCCTCCTTTGTAAAGCGAAGAGGTTGGACTACATGGTTTCTAAAGTCCCTTCCAGCTCCACCTGAGAGTCCATCTTTAGTTTTTCAAGTTGTCCAGAAATTTACATTCAACAGATATGTTGCTGCTACCGACCATAATTTTCCTCCAAAATCCACAGATGCCAGGTAATCTTTGATTAGTTAATTAAAACCATATCTCCCTGCAAATTACAGTGACATAGATATGGCTGGATCTTCTGATGTATCTATTCTTGGATTATCTCCTAAACTGTGTATAGGCAGTATTACATCCTAACGACAACAAGAAGCATCTACTGCTAGATGCCAGGGATACAAAAGCAAAAGTGAGACTGTTTCTGCCCTCAAGGAGCTTACATTCTATTGGGAGAGACAACATATATAGGCAGATAACTGCACATTATATAGAGATGTTTAAAAAAAAACCCTAATATTAAGTAATCTTGTGATATGGGAGTGGAGGGTGGGGCAGGGAAACCAACTAGCCAGCAAGAAAGGACTCATGAAGAAAGTAGTATGTAAGCTTTTTTGAATCGTTCAGGGGGAAAAAGGCTTTTCAGTGGCCCTGCGGCCAAAGGAGGTCCTCAAATAGTTCAGAACCACTGTTTTTTTGCTTAGCACGCTGCTCATTCTGCACTGCAATAATGAATATCACAGTACACCTTTCCCAGCTGGCCCTCTAGGCATACCTAAGCGAAGGCCATGATTTCCCACATCTTGCAACATAAATTTATTTATTTGTACATATGTGCATTTAAAACGCTATATATTTCTGTGTGTTGTTCACTCAACAAGAAGTTTTGACCTAGTTTTCTTCAGCCTGTTCCTTTAGCTCATCAGCCTTGACAATGCCTGGTTTTTCTGTGATATAAAACAGTAAAGGGATTTGAAAAATCAAACATTCTGGGGTTCATTAAATGTAACCTGAGTAGGACCTGAATTTTGGACTCCTGGGTGTTTTACAAAATTCCTACTTTCTATTAAGTTAAAAATTAAAATTTCTTGAATACTTTATTTTAAATAATATTAATATTTCCTCATGGGAATATTAATATATTACATGTGCATTTATGTTATTATAGTAACATTTTCAAAACTGAATTCAAATCCTGTTTCTATCAATTACTGCCTCGTGACCTTAGAAAATTACTTAACCTCTCTGAGAGGCCTTAGTTTCCCCACCTGTAAAATAAAGGGATTATGGTCCTGTGAAGAGGATCCTGTAAATCCTCAGCACAGATACTTCATAAACGTTTTCTCTATCAGGCAGCTTCTGCATTCCAGTGCCACAGTGGGAATAGGGACCATGCTATGGCAGCTCTGCTTCTCTCAAAGTAGCCATGAAGGCCAGAGGTACAGAGGGAGCAGGCACCTGCTGCCACTCACCAATTGTCCTGGTCAGGTCTGACAATTTGCATTATTTTATGATTGCCTTGCAGGAGAACTAAGACCTCTCCTAAGGGAGAAAAGGTGAACCCCCTCAGGTTTCCCCAACCCAGATGTTCATTTGTGTGCCAGGGATGCTAAACAGCCTTGCTTGAGAGTTAGTTAGGGCTGGGGCTTTTTGGGTTTGGTTCGTTTCAGATCTGCAGCAATGTCTCCAGCTTCATTGATTTTGAATGTGTGATTAAACATCTGAGTTCAAGGGGGAAACATGCCCCCAAGCTGGGTGGCTCTTGGACAGACATTTACAACTCTGAGCTCCATTTTTCCATCTTTAAAATGGGGACACTTAAGAAATATCCTAGCAGAAGAAAGAAAGGAAAAAAAATACACACACACACACACACACACACAGACAAATTATGACTGTTAATAAACACAATTTTGTTTCCAATTCTCACCTCCCTCACCACCCCTACCCCCACCCCTACCTCCAACTTCAGTATTTTTAGTAAATATATATTTTGGCAGCTGGCATGCATTATTACTAGAAATTTTGTTAGTAAGCATTCATCCAAATAGCAGTGTTTCAGATTTTGATGTCTTCAGCTCCTCCCCAGATCCTGGAGAATAGGGGGACTGGGGGAGAGGGGGAGGTAGGAGGGGGAATTGGAGACTGCATTGTCCTTACCTTGAGAAGCCACCAGGGAGAGAACAATCCGCTGCCTCCTGCTTCAGTTGACCCTCACAAGCAGATGGGCAACAGGACTGGTATACCCCTGTGAGCAGGGGATTTAAGAGGGCTTTATTTAGGGAAGAATAGGCTGATTAGCTGATAAAGAGCATGTAAGATGGTATGGGGCAGTCTTTGATGTCTAGCGGGCCCAGCAGGGAGCCTCGTGGTGAGTGACAGCAGTGTGTCATAGGATTACTCAGCTCGTGACAATGCAGCTCTCTGTTACTGCCTTGTCGCCACTCTGTTTCAGCTACTTTTTCCGTTGTTATGTGCTTCTTTTGAAGGCATTTTCCCCCCCTCCAGGATCCCCTCCCTGCCTTTATACCACAGACGGCCACTCTAGGATACTGTAGGTAACTTTTTATTTGGGGGAAATGTTGTCATTCCTGGGGTAAGAGTGACTTTGCGGCTAATCTGCGTGTGGACCGTATAATTGTGGTCAGGGTGAGAGGCAGAGAAAACTTGACAGATTTTCCACACCTCAGTCAGGGCTCAAACAAATTCCAGTTTGCTGCTTTCTGAGGGCTGGGCAGGAAAAAAAAAAAGTCTGCTAAACCCTACAAAGTAAGAAGAGTTCTACTGTGGCAACAATTATTGTGCAGAGCTGAAATCCATCTGTCGAGAAAGAGAATAGGGTCCTTATTGTTTTAAATGGGGAAATAAAATAATAGCACTAAATACTCCAAACTAGTCAGCTTTCCTCCTTATGGCTGTTTACTGCCAGCACCAGTTGTCCTGGAGTAATTATGTATTGTGTACAAACATCTGATATTTGTTCACCAGGCTGCAAACCAAACCCTCTCCTACTTCACCTGCCACACAGCAAACAAGGGAGCCCAAACCCATAGGGAAGAGGAGTAGAGTTGTGCTGGGAAACAGGAGATAGGAATCAGAGGCAGGTTAGGAGGCCATTAAGTGTTTTCACCAAATG